TTTAAAATTGTAAAACAACAATGTTCTGTTTATTAAAAACTTATCAAAGAAATTCCATGTGGATATATAAAACGAATTTTACATTTTATTACGTCAACAGCATTGTTTCTCAATTGATATATTTTTAATTGTTAATTGATAACAAACGAACACATTTAACTCAATATTTGAAAATCTATACATTTTTCAATTATACAATTGTTTAAAACAAAAAAATAATATATTTATAAAATTTGAAAATTTAGTAAATTGTTCTAAAAAATAAATAATAATGATTATGTTCAATGGAAAATTCTAATCCAAAATTCTTATCCGACAATTTGCGTGTATTTGTATTACGATAAAAGTATTTATTCAAGCGAAGATCCGAACTACGAAATAGCAAAAACTGAAATTCGGTTAATGCAAACACTCGAAAACATATGCAACAACATAATAATATTACCGTTTCGGGCAACCGGAGAACCTTGAAACACTAATTGTTGTGTACTAATTGATTTCAAACGTATTCCTACGCAAACATCGAATTAAATGTCAATGCTAAACTGACGAATAATATTAAAAAAAAAACACAGAAGTTTGTAAAATAAATTCCAGTTAATTGGCAAATCAAAACAGATGGATGTTCGCGTTCCGCTTCGTTCAGACGAATGGGAAGACTCCCATGGTACAAAAAAAAACCTAGGTATAGAGATCACAGCCTCCCAGGAAAACTAATTGCTTCTTGTGCAAAGTTAGCTGTTAATTGATTAATCGAGTTTGCGGCGAGAAATCCAAACGACACGCGTTTTATTAATATAAATTACCTAACCATTGAATCGGTTTATGTACAGTTATTATGAATGGATTTGCATTGAATTGGATTTCAAGAGAAGGAAGCCGAACGTTCGAATTTCGGAATTCGAAATTGTCGGCGTCGCCTCCTAAATATACAAAAAAAAAACAACGATAAAGCATTGTTCTACGCTCTGAAAAATATTTCGTGAAATTTAATAGATGTAAGAAGCTGCTTTAATTAAACTCTAGAAGCCAACACCGTATCATGTTATGCGAATAATACACCATCACCAACGGCGGAAGGATGAATAAAACTATGCGATTATCTTGTTCTTGTCTACTTACAAAAAGGGAGCGTTCTGCTCTCAGTACTCAAGTTGCTCCGATGAGATTATATCATCATCTCGAGATGATCATCATTTCTACTATTATCGCAAGTCAAACACCTTCCTTCATTGTTTATCCATAATAGTTTTCATTCACAATCGACGATGCCCGAGATGCAATTCTCGATTGAAACGCGAAATCATTATTTTTAACTTACATTACCTGCTGCAAGTTGTTCCTAGAAAGCTTCATCATTCACAAATCACAACAACAATCATATAGCAATAAAATTGTCTTTTTTTCTGAATTGGTCCAAGAACAATACAAAAAAAAATGTAACAATAACACTTAGTGTCTTCAGTTTAAATGTCCTGTTTGCTGTTTTTTCTGGTACTTCGAGGTTTATTTATTTCCCTGCTCGAAGATGCAGGAATTTACTAACGAACACGTGTGTGTTTATACACATATACAATCGAAGCACAGCAGGAATTCCGTGCTCAAAACAGCATTCACTGCTGCATTACTACTGCTACTCTTATCTTGACAATATTAAAACATGCCCACTTACTTTCCTAAAGCGTACTTAAAAGTCCCCACTTTAAACCGCGTTATTCTAAGCGGGAATCGTGTATAGACTACCAACTTAACATTAACTTTAAACTCATTTTGTACTCATTCGTATTACTTCTATAAACAAATAATTACAAAGGGTTATAAACAATAAGCCTTTTCGCACTTCTATGAACTATTAATACACTAAGACTCTTCGTATATGAAGGTAAAAATAAAACCGAAAAAGAATGATTTGCATTTAGAAGTCGGCTGTAAATAAGCTATAATCAATGATAATAAACATCAAAAATATTTTTCAAATAATCTTAAACTGTGTCTTCATATTAAGATTAGTTAAATAATGTTTGAACATTTAAATTAAGTCTTCAACAACAGAAATATAAAAAATGATTAACTTCTAGGACATTCTTCAATTATTTATTATCATATGATTAATATATTGGATTGATTAATTTTGGACACTAAATTTAAAAGATATCGTTTTTTTTGCCTATAATGAAAATACTAAACTCTTCTATGTAGAGGCATTTTTTATAGAATCATTTGTATTTAGATTTATTAAGATTAAACAATTTAAAACGATAATTATATTCTTAAAAGGTTCTAAATTTCAAGAAAATATATACATTAAAGTCAGGTATTTAATATCCAATATATTGTAGTAGGGTTTTGTGGGTTTTTAAAGCTCGGTTTTTTAAGATCGTTTTTTTTAGGAAATTTATGTAATTCGAAAACCGGGTATTTATATCTAAAAAAAAACGGTTTTTTATACTAAACATAAAATATAAAAATTAATGAATTATTTTAATTATATAATTAAAAACATAAAAATGTTGACTCTTTATTACGTAAGTTGAAAAAAAATAAAACTGAAATAAGTTCTAAGATTTTAGAATAGTGAGGTTTTTAGTTATTTTACAAAATTCACAGAATGTTTAGACAAAGACTTTCTTCAAAAAATGATCGTTAAGTTATTTGGACAAATATTACCAAGATTTTATCCAAATTAATATTGAAGATAACTACGATGTGAAAAAAGCAGCAAAGAAAACAACCTAATCATAGCTGATCATAGAACCTGAAGATGTAACTTTGTCCTACCCCAAACTACTAAAAAAGGAACTTTTAGTATTAGAGAGTACAAAAAGAAGAACGAATAATTTAGTTCTATTATTTAATGTTTTAAAGACGATTAAACCCAGCTTGATAGTAAGTGAAAGTTTTTACTATATCTGGAAATTTTGTATACGCAATAGATCCGTAAAAATTCCAAAACCGTTTTAAATCGGTTTTGTAGAAAAGTTGAGATTAGAAAACCGGTTTTTAAAAAGTTTTTTATAAACCCTATATTGCAGCAACTTTATAATATGCATTTTTTTCTCTTAAATATACAATAATTACAAAAGAAAGATTTTGGTTAAATATTTTTCAGTTGTGAATCAGGGGACGGCCGGGTCTTTCATCATGAAGGGTGGATAGACCTTGTCCGGGTGAATTTTATCATTCTTCAGGCAAATGATACTTCAGAATATATTATTTGTTTCATTTCAAGAAGATTTACTTTTTATTTGGTTATTTATTTATAATTTCATATTTTTTATATTTACTTATATATGTACGTTTCATTTTTTTTTTGTATGATTTTCTTTGTGACAATTTATATGTTATTGTGTCTTTGTGCGGAAAGACTTAGGTCGATAGCCCTTTGGTTACATTGTGACTAATAAAGATTATTATTTTACAGTGGAACCTCGCATAACGAGTTTAATCTGTTCCAAAATTTCCAGATTTTTACTCGTATAGTGAAACATATTCAAGTTTTAAAAATGATGTAAAAGGCGCGCATTGCGGGACTTCTCATTTTACTGACAATTATTTTTGCTCGTTAAGCGAGGTTCCATTGTAATTACAGATTTCATAAAACTTCAAAAATGTTTTACAATTCAAGTATTTTAACATAAATAATTTGTCATTGTCAAGAGCAATATTAGCTTTAATAATAACAATACAGTAAATGATCGGTTAACGAACAGTTAGGACTATGGTCAAATCTGACAACAAACATGTTTTGAGCAACATTTTTATGTCTAAACAACTAACGTATATTCGTTTAACGGACAATTCGGGTAGCAAACATTGTCTTTGCATGAATTGTGTTCGTAAGCCCATTCTACTTATCTTCTTCATCCTCAAAAAATCAAGAAATGCAACAAAACAGAAACCTTCACTTTTTGAATCTTTTATACAGATGATTTAATTAAAATTAAACATACTGGTCTATTTATCATACTCTTAAATACTATAACGTATATAATCAATTATTCTCTATTTAATTAAGGTTTTATATTAAAAAAATTAACAAAATAAATCAATTTTTATATAACTTTTTTTAATAGCCAAAATGGCCACTCAATAATAAATAGGTCATCAAAATTATACACAATGTTCTAAAATACAGTGAGCTGTTGAACATACTTATGGTGTGTCCAATATATTTGTAATTAGGTTCATGGTCAAAAAAGTTTAATAGCAAACGTGACTAAAAGATAATGAACATACACGAGTTTATCATGACTTCCATCAACCGAATAACGGTTGAACGAAAATGACAGTATTCTGTAATATTTCTGTACAATAATTATAAACCACAAAGTACGTTGTAGAAACCTGTCTTATAAAAATAATCATGAAAACACAAATTAAAATTATATATTTACAAATTGATAAATCCAATTAATAATAATGTTATATAAATAAAATAATATAGTATATTAGTAATAATGCTAGTATCTAAATAATATTATTAATACAATACTACTAAAAAATATATATTATATAATACTAATACTAAAATAGAAATAGAAATATTACAAAGGTCTATATTATTTCATTAGGTAAATAAAACTAAACTAAATACAACAGTTTTTAAAATAATTTCACTTTTCTTGTAAATTACAAAATAATATATTTATCATTTTTAGATTTGAAAACATAGAATCTATTTTGATCTGATGAAAATCTAATCGGTGGAAGAAAACCTTAACTGTTGCATGAATACTCACAAGTATTCAATGGAAAAAACTCTTAATGTGAAACCGTATAAAGGCTACAAATCGAACAAACAATAATTAATTGTAATTTACTTCTAAATTAAACGAACATTTTAATAATACTTAATACAATTTATAAGTACAAAAACCATTATGCCATTTATTATAAATAATTACATAATGAATAATGAATAAAACAAAATCTTTTTAAATAGATTATATGAAGAAACTTTTATTTTGTGATAATTATTACTAAAGAATTAAAATTGGCACGTTTCGAGTAATGAAAGATGACGTTAGTATTTTTCATAAAGAAATATCAATTAATGTGATAGTTATCGAACTGCACTTGCATAAGATTGGGAAGAAGGCAATCAGTAAACAAATAAGTCTATAGTCCTTAACTATTTAATTATACAATCCCATTAACTCAAGGACCGGGGAACCGTCGAAATTTATCCCAAATGAGGTAGAAGCAGATACTTTGGGGTAATGAGGACGACCAGCAATTAAAACATTGTATTTTTTGGTTCAGTAGTTAAAACTCCCTCAACCCTTATCAGTATTTATTTAACTGGCGTTTTAATGCGACCCTGTCCGAAGTCTATCCAAATTATTCTGCGCAATTCTTCTTTTCAAATCAAAGATAATGGTAATGTTGATCATCAACATTTATAAAAATGAAAATAATGAGTGTGAAAAAGAAATGTAATTAATATTGTTGGTTTATTATTTATGTATAAAAGCAGCATATATATCTATATTTTTACAACTGGAATGCAAACTATAACAAAATCCCACCAATTGATATACGCATATTAGACTAGATTTAAATAATAACCAAGTGGAATAAAAAATATGTGATGTTTGAAGAGAACCATTAATCCGTTTTAAAGACGTTGGTTAGGAAAGCTTCCATGTAAGGATTATCACCCAAAGACTTGACCTCCTCTCGTGCTTCACCATCCAGATCGGCCAGTTTTTTTTTAGTGTACTCGAAGCTGCCGCAATTCTCCAAAATCGTTACGCAATACTTCTTCACCTCATTGTCAGTAGTGCGCTGCCTAAGTATATCTATAATAAATAGTATAGGAATGTACTACCTCCATAACTATTAATAACAATGGAAGGAAAATATAGGTAAAAGGATACGCATAACGCGGCTATCACCTTGCTCCTTGTGTATAGCGTGAATGATAGGAAAACTAAATTTGCCCTCCGTCAAATCCTCACAGTAACTCTTGTTCATATGATACTGAAAACATAAGTTTAATCATAACTGCAACACAATCAAAACTTCCTGCTACTCACATCCTTCGAACATAAATTTATATAATCATCGCGAATTTGAAAATATAAACCTAAAATTCCTGTTAATTTGGAAACATCTCTCTTATTTGAGCTAAAAAGCTGCATCAACCTTATTGCTAACATAAACAACCCACCAGTTTCTACAATAGAAAAAAATATGTAAATTTGAAACTTCAATTATTATGATCAAATTACTTTTTTTGGTCATTTCACAATACTCTTCCTCTGTTGGACACTTGAAATTATCTCTCCAATAAATTTCCATACCCTGACCCCGGTGCAACTCCAACAATTGCTCTATGAATACTTTAGTGGCCTATAAATATATTTCATTAACATAACAATCTACTCATTTTCCAATGTATTATTACATCTGGATGGTTCAACTTGGAACACTTCTCCAAAGCCAAAAATATGGCATAATTTGCTGCATTAATAGAACTGGGAACACCATAGATTTTGTGAGCCACAGGCACTCCTCTTCGTAGGATTGAATTGTCTTCAATATCATCTAATCTATAAGAAAGCAATTAAAATAGAATATCATCAAACATTTCCACAAATCAAAAATACACTTACACTAAACTTGCATTGTGCAGTGTCTGGATAATTTCCTCTATATCCTCCAAAATATCCTCAGATATATTAAACCAGTGGTTGAAGGCTCTGGCCAACTTTGATCTAATATTTTTTCCAGGAACCCCTGATATATAAGTTAAGGGCAACAGCAATTTCTTTCAAAAAATAATTAAATTATTAAAAATTGTTGATATTTATAAAAAAAACAATTCCTAACCTCATCATACTCATTACTTCCAATATCCATTTTGTAGTATATGAACTATATGTAGAATTGAACCTAAAATATTCTACAACTTGTATATATTTATCAAATGTTGTATAAAACCTTACTAATAAAGTTATTCCAATGGAAATGCGAACTATTTTAATGCAATTGGAATTGGAGAGAACAAAAACAAGATTTTTTTACCTATAATATGTGTTGCCACTTATAACAACACCTTATACTGCAGTAATGACAAACTGCAACAACAAGTAGCTTTTATATTTATTTTATCATAATAAGTCATTTATCTGTATAGAAAAACGAAAACGAGAAACAAATTAAAATTCTATCGACAAGTTGCATACATTACATTTATTAATCATTAGGCAAAATTCAAATTCATTGTAGATTTGATAATGGGTCAAATTTATTTGGAATCAAAGTATGTGAAGACATTGATAATCAATATATTTACGTGTTTTAATCCATTTATTATGGAAAACAAAAATTTAAATTTGAATTGCAATATTGTAAAAGATCAAATATTAAAGTGCATTTACTTTAAATATTTTGTATACGTTCGTACAATGAAAGTAAATAGTAAACATATTCCTCAAATTTTACCATATTTTTACAAATAATTACATATTATTGTTATAGCTATTTTAAACACAAGTGTTAGTAGAGTTGCATATTCTGGAACAAGAACTGTTGAAAACACCAAAGGTACTGTGATCTGCATTTTATGGATAAATTAATATATTAATAGGGTTTTTAGATGTCTCACAAAGGAGGAAAATTGGTAGAAGGAGACACGTTCGCGGCAATACTAGGAATGTCGAATTTAATGAATACAGGTCTTGAACCAGAGTCCCTCTCAATTTGTGTACAGTTGATTGAAGCTGGAGTAAATCCAAGTGTGCTGGCCACAATAATCAGCCAGATGCGGAAAGAGATCAGCAATTTTAAGAACTTAAGCAATGGAGAAGAGAGGAATGATAATAACAAGTAGAATATCTGTATGTTACATATATTTATTATTTAGTATTAAGAATGGAATGATTTTATAACTCATCGGATTTATGAGTTTTCTTAACATGTTTCCCATCATACACCTTGTTCTCTATAGTTACACTTTCACAAAGCTCTTGGTCCACCATGTATTCTTTAGCTGTCCATGCTTGAGATCCATCTTTGAAAAGAAATATAGCTCGATGATCATCTACCAAATACCTGTAAAACATTGATGAATAAAATTATTTTAAACATATTACACACACAAAAAAAATCACCTTTCAGCTTGTATATGGTTGTTCCATAAACTAGTTTGCCAAAGCTTGGTAACTTCCTCAGTTTTCTCCCTCGTTGGTTTCCCAGCAACATTAACAAAGGTCATTAAAGTTCTCCCCTTTTTGGTCATCTGCAGCAATGATTCAGGGTCTGCTGCATCTATCTTAGTCATATCAATCTTGGGCATTGGCCTCAAATGTTCTGGCAACTCATCATCATCCAGAGGATCTTCATCTTCCTAAGAAAAAGTAATTTTAACTTGATCTGCATTATTTTTAAATTCATACAAACCTCCCATTGATCCAAAAGTCTTTCCATATCTGCATCACTATAATCTCTTATATCCTTTTTAGCCCATTCAGGCTTATCTTTAGGCTTTTTTGCAGCCACAAGGATTAGCACTGATAATAGTGCAAATACTAATAGTACTTTATTCATAATTAATTTTAGTAATAATAAAGATATGCGAGTAAAAATAACAGATATCCTAACCTAACGAATCCTTAAACCACATCAACAGTATTTGACTCCATCTAGTGTATGCTGAAGACAACACTGTATAAGATATGTTACTGTTAAAATTAATAATAATTACATAAGTATTTTATTACATATCGGTTATAGTTTGGTACTAGGCTTTAACTAATTCTAATGGATATTCTATGAAATAACTAGTTATTACATAGAATAACGGTTTATATTAAATATGTGAATCTTCATTCTATACTTTTTTTCTATAAATTTAACACATTAATATATTGTATTTCACATTTATTTATAACAAACATATAGACATTACATTGATATGGTTATATAACATTTATCTTTTAATATATTTCACATTTGTAACAAACATCAGAATGATATGAATATAAAACATTTGTATATATATATTTTTTCACATTTATTTCGTCTTTAAATAATTTAATTTGGATTGGGACTTAATCGAGAAGAACTCCCTTGCATTTTTTACCCTGTGACTAAAAATGATATGCTTTAACAGACGCCATTTGGTCGTTTGAAAATCTCCACACATCAAACATTGAAGTGCGAAATCACTTTTATGAAGATGTATATGACTTATGAATTGGTCACGATTTTTGGTTTTAAAGCAACAATGGACGCAAGTTAGATATGCAGATGTATTTTGTTTAGATTTTTCAGAATTGCAAACATGTTTTTCAATGTCTTCTTTTAATATTAGTTCACTGCACTTCAAGCAGTTCAAATTGCAAAATAGCGTATCGCAATTACTACTCAATTCCTTCTGTTTTAATTCCTTAATATTATATTCCTTTAGTTTGCAACAACTGTGCATGTGCGTAGCATAATATCCTTTTTGTCTGAATAAACACTTGCAGTATTTGCAAATCCAGACGTAAAATCTTATATTAATGTCTTGGCAGTGAAGGTTCACGTGGTAAATGTAATTGTTCTTAAAGAAGATTTTATTGTCTTTGCAAACGTTGCAACGGTATTCCAAGAAGCTCTTACCATCGCATCCCGAATGCAACTTAAAATCAGACTGGTTGCGAAATTTGTTTTGGCATTTGTTGCAGACAGAGTAAGTTTCTAAGTGGTTCTTAAAGTGCTGAACAAAATAGGCCGAGTATGCGAATATCTTCGAACAGTTCATAGCTGGACACTTGTACCTGATACTCTTATGCGGATGGAAGCAGATGTTATCGAGATGCTCGGAGAGATGAATGTAAAGGAGGAATTCTTCTCCGCATTCTGGACACACGAACGGCGGTTTCTTTTGGTGCGTTCGCACGTAGGCTTTTAGAGAGCATGTAGATGCAGCTAAATACTTGCAGAGGTGGCATTTTAGTAGCTCATCGAAAGGTCTGTCGGATGAAGCGATGTGATCTTGAATCTTACCCAAGAAAGTGTTCTTGCATTCCGGGCATTCTACTTGGTCTTTATTTATTACATCCTGATCATCAATGTTGTTACGTAAATCTAAGAATTTGCAATAAGGAATGTTTATATTCTTCTGCTTCAAAATCAATATCTTTGAAGAGTTTTCCACCAGAATATCAAATTGCTGAGGAATCAAGTGCACGATCTGTTTGCCTCTACTAGTATTAGAAGCCATGTAGAAATTCGATTTCAAATTGATCCCTTGGTCGATATCATCGATTCCCAAATATGTAATATCAGGAAAGTCTTCATGCGGTAAATACCCTACAGCGTCAAATAGTATCATCGTTATTGTAACACAATCCAGGTCAATTTCGACACTTTTGGGATAAACATGCTGACTAGCGTGTAGTATAAACGCACATGGGTTATAGAAGATGATCTCCGTTTGACACTCGAGGCATTGATACTTCAAGAGCAAACTCCTTCTATTTATGTGCTCCAAAAACGATGTTTTGTTCCCGAAACTAAAATGATAAGTTTTAAATTAAAGTTTATAGAAAAATAGCAGTTATACAAGTCCCGGCAAGCGTAGCAAGGATATATGTATTGTCCGGCTTTTGGAACGAAGGCTATCCATTGCATCCACGCGTTCTCAAATAGTATACTCCACTTGATGAAGTAACTCTCCTGAGTGGCCTAGTATAAAAAAAACTTATAACTGTAGTTCTTTTAAATAAATGTAAACTTACTGGTTGCAATAAACGCGTGGGAAGATAATCCGGATCATAGAACTCACCATCCTCCGCCGGTTTTCCTGCAACGATAACGCATTTGTTAATTTTCTGCATTTGATTGAAGCATTCAAAAACCTGAATGGAAATGCTTGTAGCAGATGTAAGACTCCGATAGTTCTTCCATGGAGAGATGCTGCTTCCCGAGAATTTGAATCCACAGGCCCAGTCGGAAAGCGGTGGCTGTTTGAAGTGTTCCATCCGAGGAATTCGGTTTCGGGAATTTGTAGAATTTGAAGATCTTGCGATATTTCCAAGTGTACGTGCTTTTGCAGTCGTTTACGCAACATTTGCTTACCGTTTGCATCTTATTACGAAAAATAAGTTTTTGTCTTCGTCTTGTACTGTTTGCTTACCATTCTCGAGACGGAGGATGATGCCCAGGATCCAGGTTCCCGGAGACTGGGAAATGCAGCTCTAGTTGTCGGCGCATTTCCAATCCTTGCATATTTTTATGCATTTCCACAGAGCCATCTATGTTCCACGCACATGCGAAACTAGCTACATTTATTGCATCAATCAATAATTAATTATATCTTCAACTACCTCCGGCCCGGGTATCCGGCACGTTGTCACACGTCCTTTCGAATCAATATCAACCAGATGCAAATATTTATTCTTTTGCTAATAGGACATTATGATTACATAATTCATTAATATTAATTATATACATATTTCTTGCAGAATCTATTTTTTCCCAATTATTGTCATTAGTTAGTACTAAAATTAGTACTTTATTATGTGTAATCGCTAATCTTATACAATATTTGTATTATAATTATGAAAAACAACCTTTGTTTTGAAGTACGCAAATAATGAGTTATAAATCTCTAATAAATACAAAGTCCGGCTTGCATTTTCGAATATCTTCTAACTTAGAGTATTTCAATGTTAAGTAAAGTTCTGAAAATAGTAGTGTATTATCATTGAATGCCATTATAAACGGATTTATCCATATCCAATCATTACAGCAATGATACGTCCCGCGTGCCACTATTGGCCCAACGAACATATAATATTTAGAATATTAAAAAAACCATTCCACAATTTTCCTTTCCTAATTCCTATATAACTTAATATTAAATAATGTAATCACAAGTGTGTCCTATATAAAGTAGTGTTTATATACAATGTATTTATCTATATAATTTCACAATAACTTTATAAAATACGATTTCTATACAACGTATATCATAATTTTGATTAAATTACATGGATTATATTAATAAAATAAATAAATAACAATTTATTTTTCTTTGTTCTAACAAAACTAGAAATAGTAAAAATCCTTGTAATATAATAATAAATAATTAATTCTACAATACTGAGCACTATTTTTTGTTAATGCTATAAAGCAGATCCTAAAAAATATATAATATACATAAAAAAAACTTTTAAAAGGTCCTTAGACGACGAAATGATGTAACCAATGGTCTGAACAAAGACCACAGTAATCCAAACGTCATGAAGACAAAACAAGCAACGAAAATTTCTTGATTCTTGTTTGTCATCTTCGAAAACCAATTGGTATATAAGCTCAAGACCATGGTGATGCTGCCCAAAACCACGGTGAGGATACCGCTGATTGCGTGAAAGAATTTGTTGACGGTGGGCGATATGTACATACGCAGTTTCACATTGAACAAAGCCAAAATACCATTCAGACAAGTCGGCACTAAAAAGACCATGCTCAATAATCCCATTAAACCATGCCAGGATCTGAAGTGTCTGGTTTTCTTAACAACGATGATGACGAAGCCGGCGATTGAACATCCTGAAGCTGCCGTTTGCAGCAACCAGTGGAATCTCACTTTGAGTAAGTGCGTCAACTTGCTGTTGAAGAAGTTGTCTTTGCTGATCATGAGAACTCCTTCGGTCATGAACAAGAACCACTAGAATAATGAAATAGATTTTATAAAACAAGTTTTTTTTCTAAACATTTATTTTGTATATTCTTACGCCAATTGTATATAGAAATGGATGCCACGTGAAGTATTCGAACTCTTTAACGAAGCACAGAAATATTAGGTAAATCGTTACTCCTACGATACTAAGATGTGCAAGGGTGTTTATGTACTTCATTATGTTATCCCATAACTTCGATTCTGCTTGTATCGAACCGTTTTCACTGTCCACGATCATCTCATTTAAGTCCGACATTATCAGAACTTTGTTCACTACTGTGCACAATATACTGATTTAACTGCTTTTATTTGATGCCTTATCTAATTTATCTACATTTCCGCTTAAACTAAAGACATATATACACGCATACAGTAATGTCTATTCATTTTTAGATTCGTTGTAAATTTATAGTTTTATCCAATAAAAACATTTTAATTACAGACATAACTTAATTAAAATAAATGACCAAATTTCTTGCTAATTATAAGAATTCATTGCTATTATTCACATCACCTTGAATATTTTAAATATACACAAATATACGAATAAATATTTATATGAGCAAAGATTTGATAATATTATCTTGCTAAAATGAATTTTTATAAATTTACAAATATTATTCCATGCGCTCATTAAATGAAAATCTCCAACTCCGAATTGAGATAAACAAGACTACTAGAATATTTGATTACCTAATTATTATTATTTTTATCAGCAATATTACATACTTTTTCTAGTAATCTAAACAGAAATACTACATACTGTTATTGTTTTTCAGTTCTGATTTAATAATTTAACCATACATTATTTATATGACCCCAACTAATCTTTTATCTGCAGAATTCAGACATTAAATTTGGAGCAAAAACATAGTTTATTTAAGAAAATATTTATAAAACGGTCAATTGCCCTTTGTATCAGTTAACTTTTTTAAATTATATATATTTATTTTCTTCTTTTTATTTCTGTATATGTTTTTTTTGTACGACTGATGCATTAAACATTAATATTATTTATAAAAGTAATTCTGTAATTTTTTTAATATAAAGTTTTTGTGTGTGAAATGTATGCATAATATTTATCAATACTTAACACTCATCATAATATTTCTTGTTTGTATGAATTATTTACAATTCACGATGAACTTTGTTTACTGTATATACTGTTATCATTTAAATTTATTTATACACGTTTGTCTTTTGTAATTATACATTGTTGATGTACGTATTTGATGCACGTAATTAGATAAGATTTCGATTTCGACGTGCCCTATGAAAAACCAGATATAGAGCGGTAGTCAGTCACGTTTTCTGATCCGGATAAAACTATAATCAAATAAAATGTGTTTTTGTTCAAGAACATGAGATGAGATGACTTCTATTTTTATCACTAATATTCTCTTGTAAAATTAAAAAAATATATATGTATGAGTTCTTACAATTATTAAAATGTATTAATTAATAATAATAAACATGTATTGCAATAAATTACCATAATACAAACTTAACATAATAAGAAAATTATAGATCTTTCTGTCCAGGAAATAATAATGTAATGTACAAAAAATCATTACAATTGCAAAGTATTTTATCCATAAATTTGAAAAATTCATCTTTATTATATTACATTTGTTGTTCTTCTTCAAGATTATTGAAAATATTGAAAAAGTTGTCTTTAAGAACAAACTTGTTTTAAATTTAAATAGTTTTTAAATCTAAATTTGAGATCAAGGGTGTTCTACCTTTTTAGTCTAATAAGTTTATAGTTAGAATATTGGAGTGATTTTCAAATTTGTTTTGTAATAGCGCACTAAATGTCGAGATACTTCGATTGCAATCGTTGTAAAATGTCAATACACTGGAACCTCGCTTAACGAGCACCTCGCATAACAAGCATTTCGTTTAACGTGCAAAATTAATTGTAAGAAAAAATGACTCGCTTAACGAGCGACGTTTTGCATAACGGGTGACGATGAGAAGAGAAGTCCCAGATTGAGCGTCTACTACATCATTTTTAAAACTTATGTACATATATTATGTATATTTTTGAATATGTTTCACTATACGAGTAAAAATCCGGAAATTTTGGAACGGATTAAACTCGTTAGGCAAGGTTCCACTGTATTTGAATTGCTGGCTGTTCCCCAAAGTTGGATACGTTCACACAGGTTTCAGCACAACTTTATACATTGGTAATTTATTTTGTAATTAAAATTGCGATCTTGTTCCCAACGTTTATGTTTGGTTATAATGTTATTCTTCGGTGGTCTAAAATTATGTCGAGGTATTTGGCGTCAACAGCTTCTGGAATTATATTGTTTTTCAGTGTTAATCCACCCTCTACAACCACAACGCATCACGCATTGCCCTTCAAGAACACCCCACCCTTTCACTCTTCAAACCCCCTTTAGAGGCAGCACTCTCCAAAGTTTCAAAGGAAAAAATCCCTCACCCTCTGCCGTACTGGCGTACAACGCCGACTCCAACGACCACATTAACCCAACTCCTCCAAGATATTAACAAAACATTCCTACGCCACCCCCAGTGATCTAAAACACTCCCCCTACTCATTTTTCGTACAGTGTATTAAGTGCATCCACACCGTTTTTGTGTCCGCTCAGTCCATTTTATTTCATGTTCCACTCTACTCTGTTTTCCAATCTTCCATTTGTCAGTTTTTCATTTTTTTTGCACCTTATTCATTGTATCATATGTTTCTATATGTCAGCTTCTGTTTTCTTAACTCATTTGTGTTTCTCTTTTTTTTTTTGTAAAAAAACTGTAATATCTGAAAGAGGCTCCACAACATTAAAACAACCCTGTATGTACTTATTTAAAAAAAAAAACAATAAAGAATAATGGCAGGTCTAACGTGTGAATGGTTTTCGAATTACATAAATTTCCTCTAACCGGGTTTTAAAAAGTGATAAACCCTAGTTCCAAGATACTTCCCTACAGAACATCTGTAACTACGTTTTCTGTATTTATTTGAAAAAATGTATTCGACAGATATGATTTTAATACATTGTAGAAACTGTGTGATAATGTTTAATTTTAACTGGTTGTCAAGAAAAGCTGCTGTGCAATAACTCTTGTCCTCCATTGCCTAATTTTGCTTATCACTTGGTAGATCTGCTTGATGTTTACGGAAACCTAATTGATAATCCAGTATTATATTTTCCTCAGATAAGACCTATATTGAGGTCTTATCCTTTGCAGCAACAGTTTTTCGAGTAGTTTAGACATCACTGGTAACAAGGAAATCAAACATTGCATTTCACAATTGATACATGAACGTTTTAATTTAAATAATCGTCGTAAAGAGTACATCAATACTTCAGTCAGTGCGGATTTACTATAGTACTATTTAAAATTATCAACTCAAACTAAATATTAATTGATTTTAATAAATGTTCACGAAGTAATTTAAAAAAAAATGCAATATAGATGTTACATATTTTCAACACTCTTTCAAAATTATTAATTATTTGTATTGTATCGAAAAATTCTCTTTAATTACAATTAATAACATTTCTATTTTGTATTTATAATTATTTAAATATATTATAAACTGCACACATGATTTGGTTGTGTTTCAACAACATTTAATTCACGACAAATATTGTAGACAACACACACAACACATTTGTAAATATTATTACATCAATGCGATTTCATGTTTTTTGATGATAACTAGTTCTATGAATACATTAATATAAATATTTCAAATAAAATCAACTCATACACTAATATTTTTGTTTTTCAAACTTGCTATTATTTATTAAAACCTAAATAGCGTCATATTAATTATATTATTGTTTTCTTTCAGCAAATACGTAAGAAACACGTTTTAGACTTAAATCTGGATCACATTGGATACAAACAGAAATAAACTACGTAATATAATTTGTGAAGAAATGCGTGTATAGACTTTGACACCTATTAATTTGTTTATATACTTTACTAATTCTAATTTATTTATTTTACTTGCAGTTATGTATTGGAAATGAATAAATAATTTTAATAATCCTAAATAAATATGTTGTTTTAATTATCATACAGTCATACCTCAATTAACGAATGAAATGCGTTCCACGAAATTTCAGTTTTTTGTATTGATAATTATTTTGGAATAGAAACGTGAAAAAATGTTACAATTAATTTTTAAATTTTGTGTTATGTTATAAACTTTCATAAATTTTGTGAATAACGGGAAGGCACTTCCAGGTAAAGCTGAATGAGGAGATAACTTTGTTACGTCCAATTTTCTCCGGTGTACCTCAGGGTAGTGTTTCGGGGGCCTTATTATATTTGCTATTTACTGCAGATTTGCCGACATCGCAGAAAGTTACGGTGGCTACTTTCGCCGACGGAATTGCAATTCTTTCTACACACGACAACCTGACAACTGCTTCACAACTGCTGCAAACAAGCTTAAAGCCAACGAGAGTAAGTCTGTGCATGTGACTTTTACAATGCGACAGATATGCCCACCGGTTGCTGTTAACAACAACCCCTTACGACAATCTGATGGAGCCAAGTACCTGGGTATGTACCAGGACCGCCGTCTCACCTGGAGAAACCACATAAAGGCTAAAAGGAAACAAATGGCAAATCAGGTTGAAAAATTGTGCTGGCTACTTTGCAGAAATTCAGACATCTCAGTTGAAAATAAAATACTAATACATAAAGTTATTATAAAACCTATTTGGACATACGGCATTCAATTATGGGGGTCTGCATGTAACACTACTATTGATGTGATCCAGAGATTTCTATCAAAAACGCTGAGAATGGTCACCGGGATACCGTGGTATATCACAAACGACGATATTAATTCCTTCACCGACACAAAACTAGTGAAAGAAGAGATAAGTAAGCTCAGCATCAATTACCAACACCGGCTGGATATTCACCCAAATCCCCTTGATGTGTAGCTGACTAACAAAGAGAACTATCGCCGAAAGTTGAAGTATTTCAAGCCCCAAGACCTACCAAATCGTTTTTAGAATAAGCAGTTCGTGAGTGCGAGTGCCTTCAATGTGATTATGTTAATGTTGCTTACGGGACTTATTTGTATTTTTTTGTTTGTCACAAATCCGATTGTTGTCACAAGTCTGATTTATTATTTTGTGTAATAGATGGCTAAAAAAAAATTGTGATGAAGTTATGTATAACATCTGTATTAATAATATTTTACAAATAATTCACAATGTTTTTTTTAATGGCACCGCCAACATAATTTTTTAGCCATCTACAATAATATATGTGTAACTAATGGTACAGTTACTTATTTTTTAATTTATTTATTTTCAGAAGAAATATTATCAAAAACGATATTTAACTTTTCATTCATAAATACACAAAACTCGTGGCTCTAAATAAGTAAAAATCTATGTAAGAAGAGATATTAGAATCAATTCCCGAGATACTAAATTTCTAGAGACAATCGACATTGTCTAGACATCAACCATGCTTCATGTATAATTGATGTCTAAGACGACCTTTTGGAGTTACTTGATCCCATCTAATAATAATGCTTGAAATTCATACTAGCTAAATGTGACAAAAAAAAATTGCGACTAGCCAAAAACTCCAAGGTTGGATAGGTAGTTTTGAATAATCTAAATGTTTCCTTATTGGCATCATGCCACAAAAAAGGGTATGCTTGCAACATCAGCATCAGAAATTAACCTTTAAAGACTTTAGTTATTTTATGTTTATTTAGTATTTAAGTATACTAATTCTTGGTATTTTTAATATGTTTGGGAAGATACATTTTATTGGATAAAATTACCAATATTCCAATAAGTCAATAAATAATTTTAAATATTTATTAATTAATTTATTTATAATAAAAACATTATTCTAAAAAATACACAACCAAACTTGGTGAACAACGTTTTATAATTAAACAAAAAAAATAAAAATAAAAAAAGAGAAACTTTATATAAAAAAAAATAAATTACTAGCTACATTCGAATTGATTTATTCTAAAGCATCGATTACATACACATCGTGTATGTAAGGTTCTTGTAGATTGACAATTTCCATCGTTTCTCTAGGATGAGAGAGGACGTTCCTCTTTTTCGTATTCCGCTAACCGCTCAAATTCTATATTAAATTTACACTATCTTCATTTGCAATATTCAATATACATATTTATAATAATATATATATAGAAAAAAAAACAAAACTTTTTTTTAAAATTAGTAACACAGACAGAAGGTTATTACGAAGATCAGGAAATGATTTTCAATTTTTTTTTTCTCTCGTTATATAGTTTTTTTTTTGGCATTTTCCCAAAATTCGCTTTTCTCTTTCAGATATTTTCTGCTGCGCATTCGTCATTCTTGGTCGATAATGTGAGCCCACGGATGCTCCACGTGGCCGTACTGGATGGCCGTCAAACGGTCCAGAATCCTACGGAATACTGGCTTCGCATGTTCCATGGTTGGAATTGGGATCTCCGTACCCATGTAGTCAACGGAATGGATGGGACTTACGATGCACGCGGTGCCGGAACCGAAGAGTTCCAATAACTGAAACAATGGTATACATTAATAAAAGAAAAAAAATTTTTTTTTTGGTAATCTTACTCTATTTTCCTTTTGCATTTTAATGACGTCCTGCATTGTTAAAATCCTCTCTACCACTTCGAACTCGTTCCATTCCTGCGCTAATTGCAGGATGGAGTGTCTGGTGACTCCTGGAAGGATCAGGCCGTTAAGGGGTGGAGTGGCCAAGACTTTCTCTGTAAATGTTCAATAGTTAAGCCAATGTTTCGATTTATAGTTGTTACAATGTCTTACTTCCGTTTTCCGCTACGTAAAAGGCGAAGATGTTCATGGTACCAACTTCGGTGAGCTGATGGTCGTCACCGTACAACCAAAGAACCTGCTGCTTTCCTTGGCTGGTAGCCTGCTTCTGAACCCTGATTGTAGGACCATAATTGGAACCCATCTTCCTATCACCACAGCCGCCTGGCCATGCCCTAGTGTAAGAAGGATCAGCTAAAAGGGACACGGATTCATTTCCTCCAGAAAAGTATGCTCCAACTGGACACAGGATTGTATAAAGCAATGCTGATTCTGATTGCGACACACCCAGAGTTCCCTGAAATCAAGCAAATAAGAAAAAGTACAATCAACTGCGTGTCATGTAATCGAGAATTGACGCATTTTGATCAAAATATTATTCATAAGCAATTGCGTCACCGGGCATCCAACCCTTACGTTCGTACATCCGAGTTAGCATTGAAATTTCTACTATTTTTTCTTGCGTGACCTCTTTATCAGTTCTTGCGATGCACATAATAACGATTAGAAATTATCGAGCGAGCTTGCATCACGCGAGATATTTCTTTTGCAGCGGGAGCAATTTTTATTGTCGCTGAAATTCGGAAATTTCGGCCGGTTACGCAACGCGAGAGGTTGATAACGTTGTTTTTGATACGCTAATTTGTACGGTCCTCCGCTGTTTGTTTTCTCTCGTTGAAGATTAAGATACCGAATGTTGCGAAACTCAGTGACTAATTAATTCGATGATGTTGCATAAATTAATGTAGCTTACGTCTATTCCTATAAGAGTGGGCCTGATGTACAAACTGGAGGCTTCGCTGTGTGGTACCCATTCTTGGTCGATGGTTAAAAGTTTGTTGATGGTCTTGATGAGTTCCATTCCGTCGAATGTAGGTAGACCGGATCCCTTTGCTGATAAGTTCATGCGCTGCATGTTCAGATCTGGACGGAACACCCTGATCCTTCCATCGACACCTCTGTAAGCTTTCATACCTTCGAACAACTAAAGAATGGATTAGTTACTGGTAACCCAAATAAGTTAAAGAATCGCTTACTTCGATTGCGTAATGAAGCACTTTGGCGGCAGGATGAAGGGAGATGTTTTCGAACGGGATAATCTCTGGCTTTTGCCATCCTCCTAGAGCCTTGTGGTAGAAGATCTTTAACATATGATCCGTGAAGATGTGTCCAAATTTCAGGTCAGCCACATCTGGTTTCATCCGCAATTGGCTAGGTTCAGCAAGTGTCGTCGATAAATCGGTATACTAAAAATGAAAAACATGTAAATCAAACAATACCAATAATCTACATTTAAATTAAGTTAATGATCTTAATAGGATTATAAAATTTTACAATTCTAAGAATTTATCTAATAATTGACCTACTCTACTCTAAACTTCACTAATCCCTTTATTACTTTAATCAACTATATCCATTTTAATATGTACATATAAAATTATACCAAATTAACAAAAAGTGATAACTCTGAATCTGAATTCTAAAAGTACAAATTAGATAAAATAATTATAAACGACCTGCAGCGAGATATCCTTTAGCCTATGACCTAATCAATGAATATTTTATTATAAATTTCGATTGTAATTAATATTTTGTTTTCATTAATAATCTAATAATCGCGTAAGAAAATTAACCAAAATTTTAAAATTAATATTATAAAAATTAACATAATCAATAACACAATGTTTATTTGTGAAACATCATATAATATTTTGATTATTTTGTATTGTTTTTATTGAAAAAATCAAAATAATGTTAAACTATAAAAATTACAACATAATTTTCGAAAAAAATAAAAATTTAATTTTTCACAAATCATAAAAAATAGTTTTATTTTTCACAGAGTATTTGAAAAATTTGTTAAATTACATAATTTTACCAAATAAAAAATCTAACGATTTTAATATAATAAATTACTTACGCATAAAATGTTATTTTGCGTCATGAAACGTTTTATTAGATTAGATTTTATTGAGTTATGTAACTTTAAATATGACGTTCGTATGATATACATAAACGTTTGGTTTCTATCGAGTATATAAAAAAATAGTTTATAAAAGGGCGTTGCAAGGTCTCAAGAATTGAAGCAATAAAATTGACAAACATTTATAAACTTATCTGTTGTAAATTATTGTTAACGGTTGAAATATGTTCACGATTAAAGAAGATTTCTGACGCGTTCGATTATTGCGTTGGTCTATACTATAGTGTCCTTTCTATTATTCTTCACAATAACAACTTACTGGATGTAAACAGTTTATAAACATGTATTAATTATAGCTTGCAGCATAGGAAAATGTTATCTAGGAAATTAACAATAAAAAAGGTAAAATCATAAGAGTCGGTCTTATCCGTTCGAAGCCATTAGAATTGCAAATGAAGTGAACAACCTTGGCCGGTCCTGGCCTGACCACCAAAGGAACGGTCCAGGGCACGAGGATAAAACTTTCGAACAAAATTTCGCGTGTCGCGACGTTACAAATTACAACATATCGACTTGGAGCCATCCCATTGGTCCTTCGACAGAGGCCCGTCACCACAACCAAACGTACAATACGTTTGGAATGGCTACGTAAGGCTAAGGCTCGCCCGAAGATCAATGTAACTGTAAATGTAGTTGCTTTTTTTTCATTCTACAAATTGCGTAACAGATTTCTATACACGTGGACGAGTGTTAAATATGTTAGTTTTTTTTTTGCGAACAACGCACTAATAAAAACAACAGTTATTAATTTTATTATTTTGATGTAAGGTCATAGTTTAATGATTGATTCTATTCTAAATTAAGATTTTTGAAAATATAACTTTTATTGAGTTATATTATTGTCATTAAATTAAGTAAGCAAAAGTCAAGACATAAAATAATAATATTTCAAGTAATAAAATTTTGAAATTAATATCATTTCTTATAATAATTCAGCAACATTTCTAAAAAAAATATCAAATATACAAAGTAATTATACATTTTCATTGTATTCAAAAATTATATAAATAAAATCTATGATTTTTTTTTAACAATTATAATAAATGCCAGCAAAAAAAAGAGTTGATAAATTATTGTATATAAAATCAACGCATTTTTTTAGATATTTAGATTTTATTGTGAATTATTAAAAACGATATGATAGGAAGTGATATTTGCAGAGAACAAATGTGAACGTATGCAAAAATGATAACTGGATTCGCGTCTCCGTCAAGGTTAGATACATGAACGTTTATCTATTTTTATGTTATATAATTTGTTTGCACATTCGAAACGTAACGCCTTATCAAAGTAATTTATGGCACCCATTCATACGCATCAAAAAAAAAAGAACGGGCAAAACTAATGTATATTAAATCTGGTTATAATATATATTAAAATTAGTTTATCGATGTGAAACAAATATGTAATTAAAGCATTGAAAGTAATGCAATCTCATTGGAAGTTACGAGGTCTTTCATGTTATGTATATTAATCGATTACATTCTATTTATTCACAATCACCCATCCATAACGTACCTTTGTTTAACTTTTCTAAGCTGGATATAACAAAATTCTAAACCCATCCAATAAATATTTGTCACATGTTTTGTTTAACTTTTCTGTATTTTACTAAAATTCCAAAAGTAATTTAAATAAACTTTTTATAAATATTTATTAAGTTCACAAACAATGTTAATTCATGAGGAAAAAACATATTTTTCTTTTTCAATTTGCAAAAAAATATTCTATTTACGCTAATTTTAAAGTACGCTATCAAATGGAAGCACGTGCATGAAAAAGAAATATTTGTTTTAATTATGTTTTACAAATTTATCAAAATAAATATAATCTTTGGTGTAGTAAAAAAATAAAAAAATTATATAAGCTGGTAACAAGAAATATTTAATTTTGATATCACGACGATGTTATATAATATCGATATTGCAACATCGACCTAAGATTTCGTTCTTTGCAATCTCTAAAAATTGTAGAGTTTTCTTGATAATCTAATCATCGAAATACTCACTTTAAAACTGTACTCGCTGTCATAATCCCTGATGTCATCAACTCCCAGAGCCTCCTTGACTTTCAAATGGCAACTCCTTGCAACTTGCTTCAATTTGTGCTGATGCTGAAGAACCCATCTGCAGGCGCACTGAAAAATTAAACAAAGTTACATAAGAAAATGTTTAAACAATAAATATAATATGCAGGTAATTTACGAAAGTGTACGTGGATTTAGATAAACGAAAAAAAACTTGAACTTGAACTGTGTTCAACATACATATCTAAATATTCTACAGCATTTAAATACAAACGTTATGTAAAATGGAAGTTGGCGAATATGTTTTCATTAATAAAATTAACACTGATTAGGGGGAATCTCTTACATAATACCGGATTTATCGGGATCCTTTATCTTGCACGTTATCGAAATCCGCAAAAAAAATGTTGGTTTGCTCTTGGTGATGTGTGAATTTGTTTCCAAGCTATTAACACTTGTTGGTAATATAAATTGAAGAATCAGGTTCGCCTTGAAATTTGATATCTACAGGTTTTTTTTTATATTTCTTGTTTTTTTTTTCTACAAATTTCGAAACAATTTTATTATTTGCATTTATTAAACCGTTATGTATACCAAATATAATCGGTATTATCGTTAGAAAATTACATCCAAAATGAATTATGTCGATTACGATATTAATGATTTCCCGATAACAAAAGGTTGATGAACCATTATAATCCAATATGTTCAAAACATTTACATAAGCGAATACTTATTATTATTATTTATTGAAAATTTATTGAATACTAAAATACAAAGGGTTATTGATCAAATAAATCTAGTTTATTCAATTTTTAGCTATTAGTGAAAAAAGGCAAATCCAGATAATTTATCCTGCTTTTATTTGATAATGGGTTGAAATCAAAAGAAGCTACCCAGACCAACTGCGATATTTATGGATACATCTTTAATGGTTTTAAAAGTGCCAAAATGGTGATTGGGAGTTCGTCGACAATCCAAAATTATGGAGACCTTTTGATATTGAAGATGACACTTTAGAAATTTGGGTAGAAAGAATCTGTTCTTCTTTGTTGTCGAGATATGAAACCTATTCGTTTCTTCGAAAAATTATCACCAGTAAGAAAAGTAGGTCCTTTGCAGTAAATCAAGAACAAAAAGGTTCTTACACCTTCCCTCTTCCCCATTGACTTTGAAAAAGGTTCTCCCTTCTGTTTGGTGGGATGTTTTGATAATTATTCACTATAAATTAAGCTGTGTTATGCTCAATTAGTAAGATTAAAGCGGAACTGCTTAAGAAAAGATAAGTTTTAGTAAACAATCAAAGATTAATTCTATTACATGATAATGCAAGACCACATGCAGTAAAGTTTTGCAACATTCACTATATTTGCCAGTTATTGTATCTACAGACTATCACCTTTTATAGAAAAGTCCGAAATCACTTAGAGTCATATATTAATGAAAAACTTCCAGTATTTTAAGGTAGATAATAAACAGAATAATATTGTACAGTTTTTGTTTAAATAATATCATTTCTTAATTTACTGACAAAATAATGATTTAAATATATCAAAATAAATAAAATGTAATTGTTTATAACTTAAACCGAAAATTTTAAATTAATTTTATTTCATAAAAACACAATTTTATCTGAAAAATATACCTTTCTCTTTAATTGTATATATTTCTAATATATTTGACAACATTTATTTAAAAAAATGTAATTATTGATAAAAATAACCGAACAATTTATGTTGCAAAACATTTTTTTTTCTATTTCATATAAACATTTTAAAATAATGAAGATATTGATAATATTAAGCGAACAATTTAAACTTCAAAAATGATCAATTAGTTCTGACCTAACATTTCCCAGAAGCAATTTCTTTTCATTAATAAATAAAATGAAGAAAAAAAACCTTTCTGTCGATATGTAAATTTCCTGTAAACGTTTTCGAATCTCGTGATGGCAATTACTTTAATAATATTCTCCGGCGTATCTTCATTCCGGTGTTGTGAATAATGATAGGTCTAAAAAGTGGAACGCACAGATTCTGGGCCTAAGCCATTATCCATTCCCCTCATTCACATCTTTCTTTTTTATAATTATCAAAGAGATCTTTCACCTGATATGGTTCGTCCTTGACTTCACTACCAACAGGATTTCTACAGTCTTTGCAGAGCACCACCGAACGTTTAGAAAACATTTTCTTGAACTATTGTTGCATTACTCAAAGATTTCGCTTTTATATGAAACAAAGTATGTAATTAGTTGTTAATTATATTATCAGTTTATTTCAACTAATGGATTCAATTGATTTGTTTTCTTGTTTTCCATTAGCAGTTCTATATAATCATTGTGAAGGATATACCACATTCAAATTAAATGAAATTTCATTAAATTTATAAAATTTAACACAATAACAATGTTTACTAAAAATTTAGTAAATTATAATATATTAATTAGAACAGTTCAATTAATTCTTGATTATAATTAGTACAAAATGTTCATAAAACTATAAATATATGTTTAATAGTAAACAACTTATAAATTAGTTCTTGAAAATGAAAACCAAAAGTACTATTTCTATTCTCTTTGATTAGAAATTATCGTTGATTCTTGTACTACATTAAAATCTTAACCATTATCAATAAATAATTCATTGCACACTTATGCAATAATTATGTACACTGATTACTAAATTTCGGATCGGAGCAATTCAAATTAAAAAGAAACAAATAATAATTAAAAATGTCACAAGTTTATCGACTTCGCAATTTAAATTCGAAACTGCTGCTTGTTTGTGTGCACAAACTGAAATCGATTGACTTTCTTTTGCAAAATTGAAAGGCGCACCACCGCTTTCCGGTCATGGAAAATCTCGAGAAGGCCGATACTGCCAAGTTTCATTTGCATTTTTCATTGTAGAAATTCTATCAGTATGTCATTATGTATTATTTATTACATAACAGTAGTACAGAAATTCTTTGCATAGTTAGGAAACAAAATCTAGTAGATATCAACGTGTGTGTGTGTGTGTGTGTGTATATTTGCCGAATCCAAGGTTAAAAGTGGTCTGATTTTTGAATGGAACTTATTAATACACATGCGTATTTCTTCGTCGTTTTATTTATATTATGCGCATATCTCTCGTGACCAAACGTAATATCGGTTAATTTATGGTCGATTATATATAGATAGAAATCATCAGTTTGAATCTTTTACTACGAATCGTCTTGGTATTGGCATTGGTATAGGCATTTCCAATGGATTTTAGAATTTACTTTGAATTTCTTACAATAATAAGGAAATTCTGATCATTTTAAAGGGGATAAACCTGTTCCTTTCTGTTTCAATTAGTATTAAATGTAATATACAAATATTAAAGTATAAAACACAGTAGTCTGTATTAATTAAAGTCAGTTTTGAAAATTTAAAAACAAATTAGGTAAATTATCGTATTTTCGTCCTCGATTAATCCTGTTTCAAACAGTCCGGATATTAGCGTAATCAATTACTCGCACTACGTGAGTTAAATGTAATTCAAAGATCGTAATGATTATAGCACAACATAACTAAGTCATAATAATGTTAATTAATAAATAAACTATTTATTTTCTTAACACTGGGTTCAATAAAATTAATTTATCGTTAATGAATCAAGAAATTTAACATTTTCCCTTATATAATAAGGAAACAATTATCATAAATTCTTTTATTATAATCAAACTAAATATAAAAAATAACTTCAACAATTCTTATACAAATTAAGTAGAGAAATGTTTATTAAGTAATCTGAATATCTCAAACACTAACCTTGCTTTTTTTTATTTGAGAATATTTGAATGTGAAATCGCTTAAATTTGAATATCACCCGATATCAAATAGAATCAAAATGTCGTGTCACAAGTGGAATACGAAAATAAATGATATATGGCTACTTTTCAAGTGCATCGACTAATAAAAATAGATCCGTCCAAATTCAATTCAGTATCATCGTCTGTTTCAATTTATTTTTAAAACACTTTTATTTTCAGCACCAACTGAACAAAATCTTTTCGTTTCTAATATAAACTAGTATTATCTGCATTTGTTATAAGTTTTATCTTACATTTTGCTATTGATTATGAGTTTCTTCTGTCCCTTTTTTATCTCCAAAATCCTATTTTGACCACCCTTTCGGTGCTTATCAATCACATTCGAAAGATTTGAACTTGTCACCTTTCGTATCAGATTTGATACAAATGATTATAGATAGCAATTGCCTCTTTTGTTATTATAATGTGTGATATTAGATTTTTATTTATGTACAAATTCCTTTTATACTAAGTTGAAAAAAAGTTATATCTAAATAAAATTGTAAATGTTAAAATTGATAATAATTTGTAATTGTTTGTTAATGCGTTTATTATCATTATTAAACTGTATGTAACAGTTAAAATAGTTAAGCTGATTGCGCTTATTGTCATATGTTAATCACGAAAAATATAAAGTGTATAAACAATTCTCAAGAAATTCTTAGTTTGGGTTGATTAGACTTAAAAAATGTCTCAAGTCTAATCAATCCAAACTAAGAATATCTTGAACTAATAAGTCCAAAGTGTATATTGTAACAGAATAGAGAAAAAATAGTATTTTGTATTATAATAAAGAAATATTAACTACTCGTTTATTCTAGACAATTTTAATATGTTATTTATGTATTACTTGTACACTACATTTTATCCACTACATTAGTTCATGGCTAATGAACATTAACAATAATTATATTATTACTGTTAATAACAACAATAATAATACATTTAAGCAGCAGAATTAATATCCAGATAAAAATAATTCTATAAATTTGGTTCAATGTTTTAACTAAAACAATTTGCATTGAAATGTCTGTGTTACATGCAGAAAATGGAAATTTATAATAAATTTTGAAATAGAATAATTTATATTTTCCATAAAATCAGGAACTCATATCTTTGTTTATATACAAGAATTGCTCGCATTGTACGGTTTCACTAATATCCCGTATTATTTGAAACTGGACAAATCGACGAATTTAAAACCATAGAAAGAAAAGACAAAAAAGAACTTTATTGTATAAAGGAAAAAAACCATTGTTGAATAAATAAATAATTTTGTGTACTCATTTTTTTGGTATTTATTTTGCTCAATGAATATTTAGTTTGTTTTGATATTTTCAAACCTAAATCAGTACTTATTGAAACCGCACTAAGCGAGGTATTTCTATACACAGCATTTGTAAACTAAACTAATATTTTCTTTATAATTGCAACACTATCGTCCAATTAACTTTTTTTGATAACATTAATTTCTTTCAATTTAACGCTTAGATATTTCATGCTTTATGAACTTTTGCAATTATTTTTTTATTCGATACATTTTAATAAATAATATTATAAATAAAAAAAAGTAAATGTAAACAATAACTGAATTATATAAATGAACATGAAATTATTTCTGTTTTTCTCAAAATGATATAACAATATTTATAAACACGTTTGGTATTTGAACAAAACGAATGAACTCGTAACTTTAACTTTTTTCTCTCCCCCCCTCTCTCTCTAGAAACGTGCGAATCTTGTTTGCTAACCACGAAAATACGTGTTTTTCTATCGTATTTTCTACGACGAAAATAAACAAGACACCACGTTTTTGCGTGCGTATATTACCTCATCCAAAACAAATTTTATATATAAACAACTATTCTATATTTCCTCTAATTCATTTCTAATCATAATAGATCTATTAGCGATATAATAATTGTATATATACATAACACGTTCCGGTGACATCCAAAATAGTTACCCAAAATTATCGCACATTTATTTGCACATGATTTGCAAAATTCCACGTGAATACAGATTGAATACGATATAAATTAAATGCTAATAAATCACATTTGATCACATTTCAAACATAAAAAACATAGAAAAATATCTTGTTAAAAATGTAAAAATTTTTAAGCTTAGCAACAATTAATTTGATAATAGCAACATTTTTCAGAACAACCATAAAATTATAATCTAAGTAAATAAATTTAAAAACAAAGACTTTATTCGTTGTAATTGGCCCATATTTCACAACACGTCGTATAGTGTGAATTCGATCATTTCATAACAAATTGTAATTGACAAAATACATTCTTAAAAATATGTTATTCAAGTATCTTTTTTAACATTTATTTTTAAGCGGTTTTAAAGTCCTGGATTAGTACGGTTTCAAAAAATTGCCAGCACTATACGTTGTATTATATTTTTCTTCAATATTAATTAAAGAAATCATTACAAATATGTTTAGTATACTTATATCAATGTTGTAAATTAATTTGATTTAACATCACACATTTCTTTTAAATTATATAATCTAAAATAATATTTTCTTTATCAAAAAACTTTAAATGGACAAAACTGTTGGAATTATCGTGCAATTTTTTTTTTGATAACATTAGTTTCTGTCGATTTAACGCTAACGTAGTTCATGCTTTATCAACCATACTTTTGCAATTACTTTTTTTATTCAACACATTTTGACAGTAAATCAATCAATTTTATTTTATTTCTTTACAATCTATGTGAATAGTTACTTTCTTACAAGATTTAAACTATTTTTAATTGAAAACAAAAAAAAATAGTTTTGTTTGTTTTGACTAAATTTATTGAGGTTAATGTCTTTCATATACTGCTGATACTATTTAGACAAAATAAAAATACTCAATCAAATTTGTTACAAAACAAAATTATCGCAAATTCCAATTATCTATTACTTAAGTTTAGATTCTATAGAATTTGTTCATTCATAATCTAATGCAAGTTTATTAATAATAGTATAATCTACTACTATTACTTTTACAAATTATAAATTTAAAACGTGCTTTCAATCGAAAATTATGTAACAAAAATAATTTTAGAAAATCTAAAATACTTTTCAATATTTTTTTTATAATATACTTTTCGAAAACACTTGAATAAAATTTAAAAAGCAAAAAAAATCTGAGATTAATTTCAATATAACAAACATATTATATTGACAATTTGCATATATTTCTTCAAATTCTTCAAATAAAATAAACAAATTTAGGAAATCTGCAATAGTTTTCAAATATTTTACTTTATTTGAAAAAACTAAAATCTATATTGTATATAATAAGTAACATTATTAAATCTTGTTTTTTTTTGTAACGATGTTAATTATAATTATAATTATTTAAAAAATATTATTTTTGATGTAAAATTATTATGTTAATTTATCTATATTATATACATTAAATAATAAAATTAACATGTACTTAATGTCACGATAATAAATCTTGACTAATAATAAATTTAAATTAAACTACTTTAAGAAAAATATATTCGATTACATAATTTTGTATGTATTTTAAGTTATTTTCTTAAATATATTGAAATAATGAAAATAACAATTTTGATCCATAAAAATAAATAGGAATTTTTATTGCAATTAATAATTTCATATTAATTATGCAAAAAAGAAAATCAAGTTTAATAAAAATTAATTAAATATATTAAATCAATTTTAGAATTTTATAACTGCTCAAGATTCGGTATATTTTATATGTATAAAACTAAATTTGTTTACTTACTTGTTTGGTAGTCTGGATGACCATCTTTGCTTGTTCGGTGTTCAATAAAAGTCAAAATTAAAAGAAATAAAATGTTGTAAGTCTCTGAAGAACAGTCAATAAATTATCACACACTTGTTGGATCCGTTTAAACCGGAGTAGGTACTTGATCTTGAGAGACCAGCAAAAAAAAGGTCTAGTATTTTCGGGGGGCGCCTGTCTGTACTTCTTCACTCGACTATCTCTGTCCGTTCTCTAAGCCGTCCTTCTCTCTCCAACCAGAAAGTATAATTAAACCTTTACAGTGTTTGACGAAGAACTGAGCTACGGTATTAGGAGACTCGTGGTTAAATCCGGCGTTTTCAACAACTCTCACGTCGCTGCGGTAGTGAACAAATCCGAATCCCAGTTCACTATCAGTGAAATGAAATAACGCGACTGCCTATACCTTTATATATATGCACACAACACATATGTATATACGTATTAATACACATACAAAGCTAATCCGATGGCGAAAAAAAAGAGTGGTGTGTATAGGAGGTGACGGTTATTCCTATTGGCGTATTCGCACTTATCAGTGTGGTGACGTGCACCAAATTGTTCAAGAATAAAATTAATACTAATAATAATAACAAGCAATTCGCATCATTCATCCTTGATCAATCGTTCACATTTACGAGCAAGGAATAAACTGGATTGAAAAATGGAATACACATTCGTATTCGAATAAATATGTAAATTTTGAAAGGATCACGACCCCGCGACAATGTTCCTTTGGAAAATACTCCTATTTCCTTCATATACATTGTGTTTATTGCGCACCTTTTTTAATTATCCTTGCTTTTCATTTTCTTAATCAATTGAAATTTCCTTTAAACTTCGAACAGAAAAAACGCAAAAAATATATTTACTAATATGAATACAATTATTCAATTCTCGGTGATTTCAATGCACGCTCGTTTTCTTATTAAATGAATAGAACTTTCCGTTATTGTTTCCTGCGTTGATGGAGGATTTCCAACAAATTTCAATATTCTCGTTCGAAAATATGTTTTTTTTGTATTCTATTATTACTTTTTCTGTTTCTTAACGATAACAAGTATCTCTAGTGCGGTGATTTTTTCAAATTTGAATGTTAGCGTACATTATGGGCAACCAAACTAACATCAATTCACATAAGAAAGCAATAAGAAATTTAAAACGCATTTCATGTATATATTCCTATCATTGTTTAATTACACACGTGTATTATAATCGTTAATAATAGATATAGTTTTATGTCAGAATATTTAACATTCAATGAAAACTTTAAAATCCATACTGTTATATATTTTTTTCTTCATTTTTAAACAAAGTTTTACAAAATGTTATTTTAAATTTTTCTATTCATATATTTCACCCACAAATTTGTTAATTTTTGAATAGATTATCTATTCTTAATTTTGAAAGTATTAACATGATTAATAATATTCTTTGGAAAATATTGATACTAGAAGATAAGAAGTAATTAGTCTTTTTGAAGCACTTAATATTTCTGAAGACATAAATAGTGCATTTAAAACCACATAAAATAAAGAATTACAATATTTTAATATAATCTGCTGTATTAGGAGAAACTAATTTTTCATCATTTGAAAATATGTTTTTTTTTTGCTTACTATTTTTAATTCGTCTGTTTCTCAACGGTAACAAGTATCTCTTTTGCGATGATTTTTTTTATATTTGAATATTAGCGTACATTATAGGCAAGCAAAGTAACATCAATCCATATCATTAACATTTTTTTCCAAGAAATAATAAAGAATTACATTAAATAATTTAATTAGAGAAATGTAAGATGTCGTTAATTATACGAATTGATTTATCATAATTGTAAACCTTCATCAAAACATATCATATTTGCAAGAAAACCGCGATGTTTTTATGAAAATTTATTAAAAATTACACTATATATAATAATTAATTGTAAATATATAACTATATGAAAATTAAGATTTTCATTAAAACAACATTATGAACTTTGACGTGTGCCGTAAACAACGTAATTAAGAGGTATTTTTAGAGAGATGTGTTGACATAGTATTCTTATACTTGTTATTTTTTAATAATTATGTTTTTATAATCGAGATATGACAACATGAAATAATATAACACGTTAAGAACTAGGCAAATTGGTTTGCATGCTGTGAGAAAAAAATTCGTGGACACCTATGGACTGAGTGAAAAGTCAAATATCTTACGTCAATTACAAACTTAAACTTATCTTATACATTTTTTAATATTTTTTAAACAGTTTATAACAATTGTAAGATATGTATTTTGTAAGATTTGGATAAATTATGTCACAATATCACGTATTATTCTAAATTTCTTTAAGAATTATTAAAATATGTATAAGAAATGTATTGGCGTTTAAGCTTTGTAATTGGCGTAAGATGATTAAGTTTATACTCAGTCATAGTCAGTGGCGTGTCAGTGGCGTATTCATAATTTATGACCCACAGGTGGGCCATGCCGTCGTCAACATGTTAATTATTAATAACGGTTTTATTTTTGTATTATTTGTATTTATTTGCATACCTTTACATAGTATTATATAACCTTACATTCATTTAAATACCAGTGTTGATTTTTAAACGGTGGCAATCGCAAGCCCGACAATCGAAATACCGTCAATCAAATTCCCAACGTTCGAAATCGGGTACAGTCGGGTATCGAAATCCCGACAACCATCGAAAATATCTACAATAACATTTTTAAATTATTCCGGAGCCTAGTGACTTTTAAATTGTTATTAATAATAAATAATAACAATTAATAATCTAATTGTATTTGAGATTATTTCATAATGTTAAGGTTTATTATGAATAATTCAACAAAAATAAATTAATAATAATTTATTGTTATTAATAATAAACAGTCGGGATTTTTATAAAGTCGGGATTATGTTTGTCGGGATTATGGTTGTCGAGATTCTGATACAGTCGGGATTCTGGTTTTCAAGATTTTGATATAGTCGGAATTTCGATACAGTCGGGATTTCAATAGACGGTCTTTCGGTTGTCGGGCTTGTGATATAGACCCATTTTTTAAAGTGTTGTAGAGGGAAATAACATAAAATTATTCACCCATTTTTTTCTTCTGCGATTGCAAAATTATTAATTTATATTTGATTATTAGAATAATATATTCTTGTAAGTAAATTAATTCTACAATATATTTTTTTAACGATTTCACTTAACTCTTTGAGAGGCGATGGGACACTCATTGTCAAACCTTTTGTCCCTATTGGGACATTATTATAATTTTCTAGAAAATGTCCAGGAAAAAGGAATTATTCTTTAATTTGGTTAGTATGTCAAAGGATGATATAGTTGACATAGCTGACTGATTCAGTTGTCTAGAAATTTAGGAATTTATGACCTTTCAGAGTTAAAGCATATTCAAATTTGATTATAATTTTTGAACTGTTAAAATTTTGTTTCAATTTATACTAATCACACTTTTAGATCTACAATTTTCCATTTAATTTTCAGATTTCTCTTCAATATTTAAAAAAAATGAAAATCCAGTAACTTCTAACATCTAAAAATCAGATTATTAATGAAAAATAATCATTTCTTCTTTTATTTCATTTTTTTGTTAATTGTAAGATCCAAAATTAAATTTCATTAATTAAGAACAAATAATTTATTTGATAAATATAAAAATCTTTCAATTATATAACATTGAATAACTAATATAAAAATAAATTATCTGCAAGATGTAAATCATTTTTTTGTGTAAATATATTTGAAGATTCAATATAATTCGATAAGCCGAAGGTTGTTGTATCTTTGTTAAAAAAAACATTCACGTGAACTTTATGTATACAATTATTATGTAAAACCGAATTTATCTATGTTTTCTTTATACGTTTTAGTAAAAATAAAAATAAGAAATTTAAAACGCATTTCATGTATATATTATTATTATTTTTAATTACACACGTGTATTAAATCGTTAACAATAGTTATTGTTTTACGTAAGAATGTTTGACTTTCAATGAACAAAAAAAAATCAGACGACATTATGTTGTTTTTTTTATAAATTGATTTTGTTATTGTAGCAATAACAAAAACAACTGACGATTGCCATGGTTCTATTTTTTTTGTTTGTAATTCTAAAGCCAACTCTGAAAAATATAATATTTCTGAAGACTTAAAATATTGCAAAAAAAAATGTCATTTAATGTATTTTCTACAAAATATGTTATATTAGTATTCAGTTTCAGAACAAATGAACAAAAGTTATATAAATTTACCCAAAATACATGATAAAAATTTAATACCGAACAGTATGCTATGAAATTATGTTAAAGACATACAATCACATGGTTTTTTTAATTTTATTATTATTTTAAGAGAAAGAAAATTTAGGCTCGACTGTTCTTGAGGGTTTTGAATTGTTTGCGGTTTATTTACGTAATACATTGTATTTCAGAGGCCAAACGAATTCAGCATTTTTTGAAATTATTCGTTCACCGAAAGGTCCATCCATAGTCGTTTTGACAGTAGCTCCAATCGGTATGGTTCCTGATTATCTTCGACGGCTGTGCATACAAATTTTAAGCATTGTCCTGGCTGAACTTCCTCATTTTCAAAGAAATAGGGACTAATAACGTTTTTAGCCATAACTCCGCACCAACCAGTGCATTTTGGGGATGCAACAGATGCTGATGTAAGTCCCTGGGATTGTCATTACCCAAAAATGCAAAATCATTTTATTATTAGAAGACACTCTAAGAGTTTCAATAATTGATGGACATTATGGGTAGCCAGTTGAATATCCAAGAGAAGTTGAAGTTTGAAGTTTTGAAGTTTAAAAAGTATTTATTAAGAGTAGAAACATACATAGAGTTATTTTTTTTAAGGGGTGGCGTACATGTGAGCTTGTGCTCATTTAGCCAGAATCCAAGAGATGCTCTATATTTTATTTATTAATTAAGCCACAACAAAACTGTTGAACAACGAGCCACAGTTTGGCCAATCCTGCTATTTAACTTGCTAAAAAAAGATTGAAAATGAACAAGTTATTTTTTCAAAGCCTTCAGACGCCATCCCATCTGAAGCATCGAAAGAAGTATGTTCTGGGTTGTTATCTTCTTGACAGTACCACTTTTCATCCTCTTTCTTCACTATGAAGTGCAAGTTTTTATCGAAGCACCCATGCCCGGAAAGAGGTTGCCACTTATCCCATATTTTTTAGCAATCAGTATTTAAAATTAATTCCAAATCCAGGAATTCCTTCTATATTTAGAGTTTATAGATTTATTAGTTTCCAAGTATTTTCAATCAGATATTTTTTAAATTTTAAAATCAACAATCCTGCTCTATAACTTGCCAAAAAAAATGATTGAAAATGAACAAGTTATGACTTTTTCAAAACCTCTAGTCTCTCAGGCACCACCGTTCATAACTAGTTATAAATTGAAAAGTTTATTTTAAACTATTGGTTTATGAATTAACTAAACAACTGCCATCTGTGTTTGAAAGGTATTAACAAATTTGTATTTTGTTACTTTCTGCATTCCTCAATACATAAATATATCATGTTATAAATATCCAAAAATTACTGAAATAATAATTGATTATTTACAATATATTAACATATTTAAATTAATATGTGAAATCTGGATTATTTGGTAATTTGGTTGCCTACTTTACAAGTAGTCAAAATTTTCATAATACTTCATTCTGCAAAGAATTGAATTGCATAACATCTATAAATTTAAAATCCAAAACATTGCTGCTAACTGATTAGGACAACTGTACTTAAAATAACAAAATGAATGCAATTAAGAAGTGCACTTATGTAAGTACATTCATAACCTTTGGATAACATTATTATGTTTAGAATTGGTTTCAGTTCAGGAGCATTGGGGTTAGGGTTTTACAGAACATCAGAAACAAATCCACTGTTGTCATTGATCCCCCTGATGATGCCCAAATTCAGATTCCACCATATGTAGAGAAAGTAGGGGAGCCTCTTGAGCAGCGTAAAGCAAGGTTTACAATTATCCATTATTTCCATGACTGATGATGTTAATATTGTCAAATTTAAGACTCTTGTATCAATCCCGTAAAAGGGGAATGTTGGAGAATGGCCTTCTGTTGAGCACCTTTGCTGCTAAATACCTGCAAGAAATGAATGCTGACCAAGTCCAGCAGTATGATCAGTAGGTGTTGTTTATTCGAAATAATACATTTGAAGGTTAAGATCAAGCTGCTTTTTTTAGATTAATTAACCAGCCTTCAAATGATTGGGAAATCTTCTATTGGGCGACAGGCGTGAAGCCAGTGCCAGCAGAGTTCGATAATGATATCATGAAGATGTTCATTGAGCATGTGAGGAACAACAACAGAGAAAAACGCATCAGTCAACCAGACTTGTATTAAACTATCTTTAGCAATATGCATGTTAGCCAATTATTTATAACTTATTTAAGAATAAACATAAATAAAATGTAAACCTTGAACGACAATGCAGTTTTATGAAATACTAGACAGATATAAATTTCAGTCTATTTGTAAACAGTTTCCAGAAACTCTGCCAACTCCTAACATTGTTTGTTACAACCTGTTTTTTTCATCCGTTGGAGCGCGTCTATAATACCTCTTAAGACGCACGGATAGCGTAACATTGGAGCAATTATTTTTAATCTTCATTTAGTAAGAACGCGAGATGAGCACACAGACACACAAAAAAAAATGAGTCCGAAGCATTTGGGTCGCTCGAAATTATCGCATTGGAATTTTTCGGAGGCTGTGAAAATTTTGTGCCAGTTAAAATAGAAAATAAGGAGCAAATTGGAATTGGGTCTCTGTCTGGTTTATCTAGCCGAGACGCATTCTATTTTCGGCCCTCGCCGCTGCGATTTACATAAATAACTCCTGAAAACCAGCTGCCGTATGTTTAGAACATTACAGAAGGTTTTTTGGTGATGAAAAAGCCAACTTCCAATTAAATCGAATCGAATTTGATTCGTGTTTACGAGCTATGACTAATTGGACTTGATCTACCTCAAGTACGCTTGTTGGCGTACGATCCGTACACCCACCTTCAGGAAAGCCTTTGTTCTAGAAGTTCAAAGTTGGATTTAGAGTATTCTGTTACCTTATTTTTGTTATTGCTAAAGAACGTCACGAATGAGTAACGTTGCGTTCAAATTCTGTGGATGCATTAAATGCACGTCGGTGTTATTTTTGTACTTTAGCAATTCGATATTACAGGAAATGATGACGATCCGTATTGATTCAGAAGCAAGAATTTTCAAATTATTCAAACATTTATTTCTATTATTATACTTTCATTTCCTTATAAGATTAACCATTCATTTCAAAATAAATATTACATCCTTCATCCCAAATTAATACCTTAAAATATATAAGTGGAAGTGATTGAATTAAAATAGAATTGCACCCTACATAGAACTAAAAATATTAGTACTATACTTAGCAGGGACGTATTAAGGTTGTTGTGGGCCCTAGACCTCCTACCTTCTCCACAGCATCTTCTTACTTAACTTAACAATTAAATATTCTTAAAACCTAAATCCATTTTGTTTTGTAGACCTCAAAAAATCTTTTAGACTCTAAAATTTCCCTTGGATACTAGGCACTATACCTAATGGATACTTCGTAATTTTTACAATGACAGAAAACTACTTAAAATAAATTTTATTTACTTCAATAAAATAGAAAAATGAATGAAGAAAAAGAGAATTTTATTTGACTTAAAATGACTGAAATCTAACTGAAGCTGTGTCAAACTTTTTGGTTCGCGGCCCCCTTTTGGACATAAAAAGTTTTTGCAAACCCCCGAAGAATGGGTATGTGTAGAAAAACAGGTAGGATTGACCTACGACCCCCAAAATATTTAACGCGACCCTCACTTTGAGAATCGCTGACCTAAAGTAAAAAATTAATTAATTTTGGAATATTTAGTTTACTCAAGAAGTATATAATTAATTAACAACAAAATTATAGTAGATTAAGTATCTAATAATCAAAATGTAATGATTTGGATCAAAATACATGTTTCTAAGGATTATTGAAACTATAATCCTTAGAAACACGGAAATAAGATCAGAACTGTATCGAAGTGATTAATCAAATGGAGAATCTATTTTCGACCGAATCCTATATTCATTACCAATAACTTAACATACGAATGATTTCATGCATTACTCATCTAGGAGACTTAAATAGAATGCATTTTCGTCTCATGCAAATTGAATTAAATCATTGTTTTTTAAGCAAAATCCAAATAAATGAAAATTTTTATTTTAACAAAATTTTATTTTTTTTTATTTTATTGTTAAAAAAGATTCATTTCAATGTCTAACATCCTTCTTAGCAGATGCATTCGTTGCGTTATTTGACTTGATTGAGTGTGAAATTGCTTTAAAACATAAAACATGTGTGTATTTTCAAAATAATTATTGGCATAAATTTTCTAAAAAGAACATTTACAATAAGATGCAATATATTTATTTAAAATTTTACTCATGTGTATTTTACAAATTATCACTGCTGATCTCATAATATATTTATTATAAACTAATTATTTTTTAAATTTAAATAATCATATTTCTTAATTGTTTTTGTTAATCAACAATTTTTCAACACATTTTTAATATTTTTATTAATTATTATTTGATAAATGCAATAGCAAATTGAATAGAAATGGTATTTCTTTGGTATTAATCATTAAATTTATGAACCACTTAGAACAGCCTTTTCAAGAATTTATAGATTACTTCTTATACTCATTCCATTGAAAAGGGTTAAAAACTCGAGCGAAGAGATCTGCAAATATCTTCTTTTTTTCTATGTTACTTATTACCCACTTAACGTCCGTTTGTAAGATAGGTGAAATAGCGATAATCTTGATTTTCCTTGACGTTCGTATAAAACAAGTCAGGTGTTCAGTTCCAACTCTCAGTTCTTCTTTTTATCTGGACAGTTTCTAGATTTATGTGTTGATTTACTAATTCTCAACTATTTACAATCACTTATTTTATAAAATTATGAAATTAACTATATTTTTTTATAATTATTATACTACATAATGTAAACATATATACCATGATATAAAATGTATACCTTTTTTGAGAGGAGAGGAAACCTCGTATAGGGACCACGGATGGAGTCGTGGTACAGTATGATACCTACCCTCTTCTGCATCCACATACAGGTCCAATATTTTAGTAAAACTTCGCAATTCAGATGATCTTTGCTAGCAAGCATTTCACTTCGACGTGTATTGATCTCCACTACTACTTTCTTCCTTTTCTCTCTCCATCTTTCTTAATGGAGAGCATCCTTGATAAGTATCTTGCTGCAATGTCCCATCTCTCTTGACTCTTCAGCATTTCACCAACGAACGTCTCTGGTTCAGCAGTTCTCCAAGCTTTGCTTCACGCCTTGTGCTTCATCTGCAGATTCCAAAGAACGTGTGTTCTGGGTTGTCATCATCTTGTCAATAACAGCACTTTTTATCCACCTTCTTCACTATGAGGTGCAGGTAAGCTGCCGAAAGCGCTTGGCTCAGGTAGAAAGTTATTCTATATATAAAGTCTATAGCTTTATTAGTTTTCAAGTATTTCCAATTGTTTTAAAAGTATTAAACTATTTGATGAAAACATTCTTTTATATGGACATCTTCAATATAATTATATAATTAAAAAAAAGTATGTATTATATACTATATAAGCTAAATTATTATATAATATTTGAGACTGATTCTAAATCTAGTTTTTTCTATATAAATTCTATGAATTCTAAATTCACGAATTGATTTACCAATTTGTTGTTTATCAAGTATTTCCAATTCATTAAATTATGAAATTAACGACGTTTCTTTAAATATTAATCTAAATAAAGATCGTTTAAAGAATATTATGAAATGTTATATAAACTGGATTTGTGTTTTGATTTAATAGATATTTTGTGAAATAATATAGTCTTATTCCAAATATGCATGATTGTAACACCAAATAGAGAAATTTCAGACTAAAACCTGCCCAGTTCTGGACCGGAAATGCCTACACCCACACATCATAATCACACTTTAGAAACATGTTACATAACTTAATATGTCACCTTTCAAATTGATTATTAATTATGTAAGACCAAAGCTATTGCTTCACAATTCCTCTAGTTAAGTACATATTGCAAACCCTTATTTTTATTTTGATGAAGGCTATATTAAGGACATATTTCTTTGACATTATTTAATGAAGTCAGTGATTTAATTAAGTGACTAATTACTATGAGCAATCGTGCTTTAAGCAGATTGTTTAATATAAAAAAATCACTTTGAAGTGATATCGATTAATAAAACAATCATTTATTATAAACAGTCTGAATCATCTGGTGAGGAAGGAAAAAAAATAAAGAACTATTTTTAACTATTAACAGCGTTATTGAGAGATGAGAAGACCGATGCGAAACGGTATCCAATCACACGTCCATATTTTCGGTCAAGTAACATATGCAAATGTAAATTATGTAATTAAATTGTAAATATTTATTTCCAAGCGAGTGTACTTGCTTGCTTCTATTAGATTTTCTTGTATTTTTTGTTTTATTTTCCGTTAGGCTCTTATTTTAGCTCTCCCAGCTCTTAAGGCCTCTCGACTATGAACGAGATGCTAAATCTGGAACATTCCGCTATTACATTTATTCATAAATTAATCATGCAACCAAGTTGGTCATAGAGGTAAACAGAGTCTGTTCACGTGGGTAAACAGCGCGTAGGATTCTTTCGCTTTCCTTTATCTCGCTTTTTCCATTCGTACATATATGGTTCGAGAATAGTTGATCGGACGTACATTTCGTCTAGTTTCATTCATAAAGCTTAAATCTTGGATGATGCCTTCTATAGGCATATCCATCGATTGCTAACGATGCTGCAAGGTCTTCCGCAAATTGTTTTTTCTTCCCAGTTTAAAGAATCGATTTACCAAAGTTAGATGTTAAATATGCAACGAACAAGACAAAAGCTACAATAAATTAATCTCGATCTTAGTTTCTTTCTTTTTGTTATTACTTTTACTGCTTTAAATGTCTTGACATTGGATTGAATTAATATAGTGTTATCATTGAACTTTCTATTTTTTCTACACGATTTTACACAAATCTACATTTTAACTCAACAACATTATGTTAATTTTTTATATTATTCTTAGAATATTATACAATAATCATCTTTTATAAATACATTTTTTATAACTCAATATAAATATAATTAATTAATTGAAGTATTTTTTCACAATCTTAAATTAAAATTGTATTACATAATTTAACTAAATCTGTATCTTGCAATTGCAAAAAATCAATATTTTTTTATTTTATTGTCCTTTATTCATTTATTTTCCAACAAAATGATACAAAAAATTGACAAATTAGACAAAATGACACGATTTGATAAAATCCAATTATTTTTTTTCAATTTCTTTCCTATATTCTGTTATAAAATGAAATGAATTGTATTCACATCAAATTATAAAATATTTGTTTTTTTTTTTTAAAAAGCAACATTTTGTGCTGGATTATGCCGGATCTTTGTTATGTCTGTGAACGAAATTCTTTCCGTCGTTTTATAGCACAGGGTTTCTTGCAGATGAAAGGATGATGCAGCCACGTCCAAATTCAAGGAGTGGTCTACACATGGCGTTTAAATGTTTGCAGCTGTCGTGGGGGAAGTTTGATTTTATTGATGTTAAACTGCGGAACTGTATTTCCCTTCATGATTTTATTTTTGGTTTATTCCTGGAAATCTCAGTATTTATTTTTCTACATATGTATATTCTTATCATTCTTAAAGCGACTAATATAACTCAAAATATTATCAAAAGCGACAATAGTTTCAAGTAGATTTTTGCTTAATTTCCATATAGCAAATAGAAAAAATATATATGAAATCATTTAGATATATTTATATTTAAAATGCACAAAAAAATACATTTATATTATTATTATTGGAAGTAAAGATTTTCTTAATGATAGTAATATTAATTTACAAAGTACTTAAGAATTTAAGAAAAAATTGACATTGATGTATTTGCCAACTTCTTGATCTATTAACGGTTAGAGTCTTTGAGATGACATGTGACTAAAAATTAAGTATATCAAGTCAAGGTTAAATTAATTGGCAATAGATGTTACAGGTATTTCATAAAAATAATATTTTTTACAACGCTAATATAAATCATTCTTTGGAACAATACATTCAAATTTAAATAATTTGCACTTTTTTAATTTGTAAATTTATGTTTTTTTTTTCAATACATATTTATGTTCCAACAAAATCTTTCTGATGACATTAATAAATTTATCTATATAATTGACAGACGTGACAATATTATAGTTTTTTTTTGAAACAGTGTATGCTATACATAAAAAAAAGCAATAATTAAATATAGTTATTTTGTTGTGAAAATATTGAAAAAAAGAAAATTATGAAACTGAAGATATTTGTTATTAATTCTTTTAATTATAAATATACGAACTAAACAAATTGAAACCTTGAAAAGAAATATTAAAATTGCTTATTGAAATATTTTAAATGTAAATAATTAAAATGATTATGAATATTTATTTTTGCAAAAAGTTATAATATCTTATAGGATTACGAAACTATTGAATGAAATACATTTAGAAGAATAGGTCATCTCGAATAAAAGTCAATAGGGCATTTTCCCCTAGTGTTTCACCCCTATATTTTGCAAAGGGGATTCCCGAAGTCCACCCCTCTTCATTATATATATAATATCATCGATGTGCGAGATTATTTTCATCGGGAATTATTTAATATTTATGTTCGACCGATAAATTTTACCGCAATCATGTTTTCGGTTCTTTCTATGGCTTGTCAGGTTTGCCTGTTTCTGAAAACAGTTTGTAAACTAAAAATCAGTTTTTAAACCTAGACTTAAAATACAAAAATAAATAAATTATTTGATTAAAAACATCTGGTATAAAACGAAAATATTGTTAAATGCTAAGTTTCATGAAACAAACAGAAGTAATGAAGTAATTAAGTTTTATTCTTCACTGCCTAACAATAACTGTAGAAAATGTTACAAAAAAATCGATTCATAAAAAGTTTTATTATTTAGATTTTTGTTCTTCTGTAGACAAAGATCTGTAAACATAAAAGAAGGAATAAATTCATATTTTATCATTCATTCAGTCATTCATTGTTATTCGATTTTCTATATAATTTGCCAGATTAAGTTTTATTCTGTGAGAAAAAGTTGTAGAATTCCTTTCTTTTTATATTTTTTTCTTTGTGAAAATTCCAAAACCGATTTTCTAGATACGTTTAAATTCGAAAACCGGTTACTTTAAAAGTCGGTTTTTGTATAAACCCTAGTTCTTTCATGATCTGAACTTAATAAAAAAAAAAAAAATAAGGAAATATATGAATTCAAATTTTGAAAAATTCTAAAATATTGTATTATAAAATATAAACAAAGTATAAAAATTTATAAAAAAAATCACAAATTATAATAAAAATACATTTTCAAAGTTTTATAAAAGATATATATAATAGTGTAATTTCATACAATAATAATAAAACCAAAAGTTCAATATATATATACGTTGCATCAAAATATTGATAATTATGCAATGAAGTAATAAATTATTTGTTATTATTAAAGAATGTAATTATTGTTATAAAAGGCAAATCAAGTATTATAAATATTCCAATTATTCACTTCTCGAAATTCCATTCTTCTATTTAATGATTTACTTAGTAACAGTTCTACGCATAAAAGGAAATCTAAAAGAATGCGACTGGTAAGATGTATGTTCTCAAAGACAGATCGTTGAAATCCGGGAATGAAACAAAATTAATATTTTTGTTAATTTTTGCTATTAAAGAAAATCAAATAATTCACTTTAGAGTAAATAAATAATTGATTTTGCTAAAGAAGGTAGGAAATTAAATATTTTAACTGTTAACTAAATATCATAATATAAAAGAGTAGTTAAAATATTGTAAATATTTATGGAAATACAAGAAAGTATACATTATTGATATTGCAAAAGAATTTAAAAACAAATATCAAGTATTATAAATATTCGAATAATTTTCTTCTCGAAATACCAGTCTGTATAATGATTTACTTATTAACTCATAAATGGTCATCGGAAGGAATGCAGCTGGTAAATGTATGTTCTCAAAGAAAGTTCTTTGAAATCCCCGAGTGACAGAAAATTAATAATACTGTTTAAATCGGAAGTCTGATGTTAAATTATTTGCGTTATCCACAGAATGCGTTTCGGTGAAAAAAAAAATATGATGATGCTCCGATAAAATGTCAAAGTTTCGCATCATAAACAGCACGACAACACTATATAAGTATGCGGCTGATAAATTGATATTGCAGAAGACTAGGTTCTTCGAGATCCGCGTCTCGTACCCTTTTTTTTCAATATTAATTATTGCGCACCCAAATATGGTTCATCGGCGAGCGCAATAAAAATAGCTGAAGGTAAATCGCACGGTTCTTTCTCTCTTTGCGTTTATATTTTCTCGTGAAAAGAATCGTTTTATCTTCTTTGAAAGTCAACATCCTCGAAACGCTGCCCATTATCTTATCGCCGTTTCACTCTTAAGAACTATTCGCTCGAATGGTATTGTTGTTCTTCTTCATTTCTTGGTTCTTCAATAAAAAAAAAGATAAATAGAATTTAAAGAAACTTTGGATGCGCAAATAGAGTTGGTATTGAACGGTGCCAGTGGTAGAACAAAGGCATTTCGTACGTGGGTAACGTTATTTTGTTCTCGAAAAAAAAATATTGTTCAGCAGGATGATGTTTGGGCGTGCGCTGGAGTGGGCAGAATAGAGCCGTGGGGAACAGCCTGCCGCCTATCCGAGCGTCCCCCACGATCGTTGCGAAAGCTATTTAAAAAGCATTCCTGCTGCGCTCCGACCGTCAATACAGCAGGAGCATCCGTGCAGTGCAGGCGCAGTGTTTGTAAAGAGAGGACCCCCATACACAACACACACACAATACAACTGTGATTCAGTGCATTTTTTTTAATTGTGCGTAAACAAGCAGGAAGACAAAACAAATAATAACATGATGGAAGGAAACAAGCGCAACATCCCGATCAAATTGGGCGAGTTCAGCATCATCGATACCGAATTCAGCAACATCCGCGAACGTTTCGACGCCGAAATGCGGAAGATGGAAGAGGAGATGAGCAAGTTCAGGTCCGAACTGATGAACAGGGAATCGCAGAACTTCAGCAGAACATCGACCAGGTATAAATCATGCAGATCCGAAGCTTTTTAACCATAAGTATATGAAGCCTAATCGCAAGTAGACACGCTATGATTCGAAATTGTCGCAATGCTCATGTCCATCCGTTCGGCGACGGTCACGGATGGACATGACAGGAAGTGGTGGAAAACCATTGTAACGATTCAAAGAGTCAACTCAATTCAACTATCCGATTTATTCCGGTGGATGATCGAATGGTCCAAAATCCAATCCGCGTAATTTTATGCAGACTCTAACATTTAATCATTGGAACGTAGGACTCGACAACGAGAGAAAAAAACACATTTCGGCCGGTTACGTAAAGGACTATAAATGAGTCACCTTCGCTTCTTACGTAACTCTATTGTGGCATCCGCGGCAGAGAAATAATATTGAAACAAAATAAATAAGTAACATCGATATGTGTTCTTTCTGTATTTGCAATTGTAATTCGCTCCTTGTTTGCTCATTAATCAAATATTCAAGTCGCGCCTGCTCCTTTTATTTTTATTTCCCAGAGGCCGCTATTTAACAATGCTTCTAGAAACTACCGAATCTATAATTCAATTCAAACACACTCGATTCTCTCCCATTCGTCCATTGTTTTCTTTATTTAACAGCACAAAACAGTTATAAATTCACTAATTAAACACATTAATCAAACATATTACAATGAAAACTCAATAATCATTAATTACAAATTATTTTACAAGTTAAAAAAATATATTATTAATAATAATTAGTTGTATTTTTATAATTACATCTTACATAAATACATCTTTAGAAGATAATTACTATTTCTTGTAGAACTAATTATTTAATTATTTTTAAATTCATTTAAGTTATTATATTTTTTTTAATATATCTACAACTCTATATCTATCTCACATTCAAATGAATACATACCATTTTTTTAAATAAATATTTCGAATTAAGAAAACTTTCTACAACATTCGATTTTTAAAGAATTGTGAAATAAAAAATGATAATAAAAGTTTAATCTTTTCAAAAATCACAAAATGTAAATATTATTTGATACATTCAAAAGTAAATAAAATCATTTTAGTCAACTAAATAATAATAACAATATTGCAAAAATCTAAATTTCTGTTATTAATTTTTTACTTTTTTTCTAAATAAAGTATTTTCAAAATTATTATTAGTCATAATTTGATATGCAAACATTTTCATCATAGTTTATTACAAAATAAAAGCAAACAAAAATTTTAACTATCACAAATTTATTAACTTGTGACATATTGATACATAAAATAAAAGTTGTTTAGCGTCCTTGAACATGGTTATCCGCAATAATATTGGACATTGCGGTATGAAGCAAATCAATGTTTTCAAAATTTTCTACAAAAGACCATTTGAAAAACGTTTGACCTAAAACTATTGATTTCTAAAATATACGTAAACCAAAATCTACAGTTTTCTAAATTTAGCTGCATTTAAATGAATACATTACAAACAAACAAAAAATGTTCTAAATTTCTCCGGAAATTGCAAAAAAAAAGTGACATGGAAAAACAACATGTCGTTGTTGCATGTTGTTTGAATTAACCCACATACATATTTCAAATAAAATCCATAAATTATTTTGTTACGTACAGAGGAAATATGATTAATTACCAGACTAAAATGGGTTAAAAAATAATTATTTTTTAATAAATAGTTATATATTATTATGAATTTTAATGATAATTTACATACGAAATATGGAAAATTAATAATCGAACTGTTTAATGCGAATAAAACAAATATAATTAATTCTTGGAATAAAATTGGTTCAACAACAAGTACTTGTTAATATGATGAACTACTTGCTAAAATAGGTTCAAAAACCAAGTTTTTTTTTAAATTGTTCATGAAGAATGTGTGGGAATTTAATAATAATTGCTGTTAACTATCAGTTGTCTGATGTTGTATCATATGAATTCGAGCGTGGAGAACATCGTAAGGCTTCGTAAATATAGCTCGGAAAAGCCTTGAAAGAGCCAACAAGTAATCCAATACCGAATAAACTAACCTACTTCGCTCCAGAAAATCAATTCGCGTCCGTGGAAACCGATGGAAAAAGAAAATACGCAAACAAGCAGTATACATAACCATGGTGAAACTAATGATCAAACAAGACGCGAATGCAACGCGTCGAATCGATGGGAACCCAAAAAAAAAAGAAAGAAGAGTAAATTATATTGCCGGGCTTGTATTTCCTTGCAGACGTGTATATGTTCCCTGCATCCTCGGCGCCGTCACTCTATTTTTGGATGGCCGTGCAATAACAAAAATCTCATATTTGATAGTCAGCCAAAGAAAATTCGAACCGCTCCATCAACTTTGACTTTTCTTCTTTGCATTCCAACGAAAATAAAGATCAGAAGAGATTCGATCTGAGAATAAAAAAAAAACGATACAAAATATAGTAAACATATTTAGAACGTAACAATTTTAATTGAAGAATTTGTACTTTGAGCTAGCTCCTCGTTAATCTTTCAACAACATTTTTATTTCAAATATTTACATTTATTTTTACCACTACCGAACATTTTAGTATTCTATTTGTAATAAAATTAACGTTTTTTTTTAAATTTATTAATTATCTTTATACCCAAAATCTTCTATATAAAAAAATAATCTCAAGGACACATATTCAATTGTCGCAATTCAACGTTATTATATAATATGCTTATTGTTAGTTTTTTTTTTGTTATTGTGCGAACTAATCTAGTATCTATAAAGCAGAGAGATAAATAAATAAATCCAGTTCTATTCGAGTTGTGCAATTGATTGGTTGGGAAGGGAACCGATCTGGCTGGAAGGTAGGATTACGGCCCATTTTGCTCGAACAATCCACTATGACAAAAGGGTCGTGAATATATGCACCCTTAAGGTCACAATAGCACAACTGTCGCACATTAGTTTTAATTGCATCCACTGCGTTATACACAGATTTATAGACGAAGTCCCGAAAACCAAATTCTCTTATCTTATCTCATATAATGCAAAACGAATTAAGGAAGAAAAGGAACAATTTCATACTTTATTTAATAATATACGTAGACTGATGAAGTGAACAAAGAGAAGAACAAGATTAGATTCAATTGTTTGTTTCCATTGTGTATGAAGAGCATGGAATATTCTAACTTGTTGTTATGCAATGCAGTGATTTAGTTCCATTTATTTATGAGGAACTGCGCATATGGAACTGGAATTAAACGTAATTTGTATTTTCAGAATTACAACTTATGTTGTATTATTTCCTTAAGTATTTCATCATATTTCATATAGAATTTGTTATAAAAGATATATGTTTAACAATAGTTTTGGAAGCTGAAAGAATTTTGATCGAAACCGGTGCCAGCAAACGAAAATAATATGCCAAACATTCTTTGGCTTCAAGTCACCGGCGCCTTGGAAGCGATAACATACATTTCTTGAAAATCTTCCTCTGAAAATTCGTGTTACATACCTTGTTTCATGTCATCAATGTCAGATGATTTAGTTACTCCATAATAACTTATGCAATATCACTTATAATGCAGCATTTTGTATCACGAATTAACCTCAAGTTAAATGCACAGCCTCTCAAGCAGATCCATTTGAATAGCTCAAAGTCAAGAATATGTATTCCTTCGGTTGATGAGTCAGTAGTTAATTGACGAATATGAAATCATATGCAGCTATGTCATACATCAAAGCCTCCTATGTCATGCACATTCTTATTTAAAATTTTATTTAATTAATTATTTACAATTTTCGGGATTAAATTTAATTGAAAAAATAACGAATGACATAATACAAAAAAAAAACATATTTTTTAAATTATGGTGATGTAAGCAGAACCTTAACATTATTCAATGTTGTAAAATTAAATGTCAATGATAGATTGATTTAATTCATCAAACATAATTTTGTACATAATTAATTATTTCTACAGTTATTATTTGTTAGTTAATTTATTTTTTTACATTATGATCCTAAGTACTTACAAAGTTACAAATAGTGGACAACACCGATAATGAAACAAAAACAGGAAATTAGTTTGACTAATATTTCACCTATATCATTGAAATTATCAGCATTCCTTAGAAAATACTGTTCAAAGAAACAACAACAAAAAGCTTTTAAAACAAGTTGCGATAACAATAATTTGTTTGTATGAAGAAAACAAAAGTAGACCAAAATATGATAAACAAAAATAAATATATATATATACATGATTAATTTTAAGTAAACATCCAAATTAAATCTACAATTTATGATAATTGTTGTAGACTAAATAATTACATCAAAAAAAAATAAAACGCATATAATGTATTTTGTGCCAATTCATTATGATATAATTGAGGCTGATTTAAAATGGAAAGTACCAGAAGCTGCTCTTTTGATGAATCGATAAGTGTGTATCACTTTAAATAATGAGCACGGACAACTGTGTTGCTAATTCGGTTGACCTTAACTTCGTGCACTTGTGTGCGATTCAAGTACATTCGAGATTTTAAAAAGAGGTTACATCAGTGCAAGCAAACAGAAGATATTTTTATAACTGACTTTTTTTATTTATTGTTGAGAGAGAAGAAAACAAAAAAAAATGTCAATTAGTGAACAAGTACATCTGTATTTGCAAAACGAGAATCGTTTATTGTTCCGCAATTATGCATTAATTTAAGGAAATATTATGATGTAATGCTGTTAATGTGAAGGTAACATTAACAATTCTGAGAATCATTTTCTTTATAAGATATACAAATTTTGAAAATTTTATTCTAAAATTTTAGCAATTTGGAAATGTATTATTCTATTCAAATTAGATAAAATATATCATTTTGCAAAATTGTTTTTTTACTACATTATTTCACATTAATTGTTACCAAATATTTTGTTTCAATTGTACAAAAGTAAACTTATTTGAAGTACATATTGTGAACTTTCATCAATCATAACTTTATCTTGACATAATGATTTATTACTGCTTGATTATGAAATTGCTTGTATTTGCAATAAACTAAATGCATTATTAAAAATTTTGGATGCATCTCCAATGCAGATTAATTGGATTTATTGAGATTCACATGGTATAAATTAAGAAATTTCTTATATTTTTGATAAATAACATTATATAAAATTCGAATGAATAGATATAGAGTTTTGGAAGGTTTATATTTTTATTGATACAAAAAAAAGATTGTTAATAAAACTTTTGGTTGTTGCATCAAAGCAAAATGACTTGATGGAATATTTATTTCAAGAAGCGGGTTTCGAGGCTAATTTAGTTCTGGCATTAATTATATGTATTTTTTGGTCTTTCTCGACGAGAAAGTGTATATTAAAAAGCGTATTGGGGCATCGGTTTTGATTACCAAAAAAGGTAATCCGAAACCGCGTCCGAGTACGAAAATAAGAATCCATTCGTATTTTCTTTTCTTTCTTTTTTATTTTCGCTTGCTTCCAACGTGCCCCGACCGATAAAGCGACCTACAACTGTTTCAACGATTGTTATATATATTTGTTGCATATATATATATAAACACATACGCGAATGTACGTATGTATATTATGAACAGACGCGGGACCTTTCTATTTCTGTACATGACATCACATACTCTCACATATACAAATGTTTCAACGCACACTTCGTGTTACGTATTTCACCATTCCATCCATCCGACACAGTCTATAAATGGAATGGACTCGGTCCACTCGACAAGCCAGACGCTCATTGTAATATTTAAATTACGCGCACAAAATGAATGGTTATCGCTTTTCGCAGTACAACATAAAACGATCCACTGTTAAAAAAAAGAGAAGAAAAGAATGCCGCAGCATAACGGGAGCCATTCAAGATGTTGATATTCGACAGCATTGATAATAAACCAAAGCGCAGATCGTAAACAAACGAAATTGGAGTCACTGCCGCTACAGTTTCGAATAATACCTGCATTTGTTTATAAACTTCACTTCCTGTTTTTAAACGAAAACATTATTCCTAGCCTTAGCAACAACTGTTTACACTAAAACTACAATTTCAAGTTATAAATGATGCATTCACTTTAAGACAAATATTGACCAGAACGTGGCAATTTATTCAGCCTCCACCTCAACAGAAAATTAAAGTTTTGTATTGACACCATTCATTTTGATTATGGATTTCAAACAAATACTTTCAAGCTAAGATTTAGATTCGTTCCACCTCTATTCCAGAGATACCTAAAGTGGTTTAAAAAGTCTTTACATAATAGAAATTTAAAAAATCTTATTAATAATTTTGTTGTTATTTATACAATGAATGTATGTTAAATGCATTTCGAATCATGCTGTCTATTAAATTAGGTGGTTTTATTTATACTTTATGGGAGTTTTGATCAAAAGAGTTATACAGATTTTTGCAGTGGGAAATCTTACGCTACAATTAACAAACCTAAGCTAACAATAACTTTTAACTTTGCATGTCTTACGAATGTGAAACTATTACTGGAGGGAATAAATCGAAATCCAGCACCAGGTTCGTACTTAATACCATTTAACTCTTATATTCCAAAAAATTAAAAGCTTAGTATTTGAATAGATTTTTTTTTGGTTTTGGATTTGAATTTCTTTGATTGGTTTCTTTGTGTTAATTTTAATGTTTACATTGGGTTTTAGCACCTCAGAGACTACACAGACCGGTGGAAACGTGGTCTGCAGCCGTCCAGGAGGCGAGATGAAGACAATGTTCGATGACATGAACTCCCCATTGATCCAAGAAGATGGTAACAGCAAATGCCTGAAACTGCGTTTCGACGTCAGCCAATACGCCCCCGAGGAAATCGTCGTGAAAACCGTAGACAACAAGCTTTTGGTACGTGTAAAAAACAAAACAAAGAAAAGCTCTCGATGAATCATGTTTATTGATTATTCCATTTGGAATTGCAGGTGCACGCAAAGCACGAGGAGAAGTCCGAATCGAAATCCGTCTACAGGGAATACAACCGTGAATTCTTGTTGCCGAAGGGCACCAACCCCGAGGTGATCAAGAGCTCTCTAAGCAAAGACGGCATTCTCACCGTTGAGGCTCCACTTCCAGCCATCACTTCTGGCGAAACCATTATTCCAATCCACTAGGGAGCGATGAAACGAAACTCAAGACAATGTTGCACCCAAATTTCGCTTATTACAACAAACAAACAAAAAGAAATCAACTCAAGATGAATATTTTTCTATTTACGACCATGATGTTTTTTCGTTTTTATTTCATTAATTGAAGAAGAATGTACGTTTAATTTAAGCAAAAAGTTAATAATAAATATATCTTGTCATTATATACTCGTTTAGTTGGCTAGAAATAACAATCGAAATATGTGATAGTGGCAGCAGCAGCTTTTTTTTTCAAAAACGAAAATTTGTACTACTACTACTACTATAATTCAAAAAATATATATATTTGTAATATATATAGCAAAAAAAAATATCCAAAAAAAAACACGCAAATCAATGTAATTGTTTTTTTTATCATCGATATTATTATTATTTAGGGATATGTGTCGCTCTTTCATTTATATTTTTTTTTGAACAATTTGTTTTTATTTTGTAATTTATTTATAAACAATAAAATATATATTTAAAAAATTATATTATGTGTACAATTTATAATTATCCCGACCTAAATCAGCTTAGTACAAATAATCATTCTTCTTAATTTGGAGTATAGTTTTAATGATGCTATGAAGCTATAGTATTAAAAAGTTCTAGAAGAAATTAATTTAAATTAAGAACAAACAAATTACAGTAGAACCTGTAAAATACAAAATTCAAAAATACACATAATATGTGTAAACAATTTTTAAAAATGATGTAGTAGGCGCGCAATCCGGGACTTCTCCTTTCATCGTCACTCGTTATGCGAAACGTCGCTCGTGAAGTGAGTCACTTTTCTTACAATTCATTTTGCTCGTTAAGCGAAATGCTCGTTATGAGAGGTTTCCCTGTACTTGTAAGGTATAAATGTATTTTGTGTACAAAACAATAATTATGAATTTTTAAAATGAATTCGCTAACAATTGATTAATTTTTATTGATCAAACTTTCTGTCTGGACATAACTTGTTGACTTTTCATATTTCATTCATTTTTATGACGAATATTAGTCACAGTAAAGAATTTGGTTTATTTAGTTTTACTAAAAATTTCACTTATTGAAAAGTCATTATTATATTATACAAATATTTAGCAAAATCATTAAATTTATTTATGTTTTCAAAACATTGCAAAAATAAATATAGATTTTTTTTTTGTTTTTGGTCCGAGGCGCTAGCGTCTGAATCGACATTTTCCTTCCCATACCGTGTATATTATTTTGAAGAGCGGAGCATTATTCTTATTATCTCACCCGTCACCCTTTCGCGTATTTTTTTTATAAGGAGGGGCATTATGCTTAGTGGCCCACTGACGCTAAATATATTAAGACGGTCCTGGTTATTACTAATTTCTAGATTATTATGATATAATCTTATGTTGATTTAGCTATTATCTATTTAAATATTTGCAAAATATTATATATACATATTAAATATACATAATCGAGGAATACAAATTAGAAAAAGGGCAGAACTTGATCGTGGAATAAATTCAACAAACCGAATTAAAACATAAATGATTTGATGAAATATTTTATGTGACTATAAATTCTATTAGTTTAAAATTAGATTATTCACATTAACTGCTCGTATTTACAAGATACAATGTAACGTAATTTATTTCTAATTGCTGCCAAGACATAAATATATGAAGTATTAAAATACGTTCACTTACCATTAAAAAATCAAAGTTATCACCAGTAAAAAAACAACTAAATTATTTCAAAATTTAACAGATTCCAAGATTGTAATATACACATTTTAATTATTTAAATAAATTATTTGTTTTTTTTTGTTAGCAACAAAATTTGAGTGTCTAGTCTGCTAATTTCCATTCGTCATGCTTAACTGTTTTAAGCAGTTAAACAATTTCTTGAGCTGGTGTCAATAGAAAATATAAATATTTAAACTCAAAAAAAATCTAAAACTTCAAATAAAAACTACGATATTTTTTTACTGATAATGTATTTGTTTCTAGAACAATAGAATTGACATTTCATATATTGTATGTTTTTTTCTTTAATAATTATAATAAATTTATTTAGTTAAGTTAAATACATTTAGAGAAAGTATAGCAAGAAAAAGTAAAAGGAAGAAGGGATTCCACTAATTTGCTATAATATACACATCTATATAATAGTATATAATAATAATAAATAAATAACATTTGTAATATTGTCTAAATTCCAATAACATTCTCATCAAATGATTAACTCTTAATACCGTATTCGTTATTATTATATGTTTTTCGTCCGTAATTATTATTGTTTATAAATTTTGATATTTTAGTTATATATTTTTTTTACACCTCATATATAATAGAGCTAACATATATTGCTTCGTACATCCGTATGCAATGAAATTAGAATAGGGGATAATTACACTAAGCCCTAAACTGAATGAATTTTAAAGCCGTTATAAGCCAAAAAGTCATTTTTTACAGTAATAATAATACATATCATTTCTACTCATCTACTAATTGAAGCATGCACTTATATCTGAATATATCAACAACTTTGGAATATATTACACTCACAGCTCGAAAAGAGACGAAAAAGTAAAGTATCGTTATTTTTCGTGACGACGATCGTCATATGGAAATAATAATGACAACGATAATAATACCTTTGAAAAAGTGCTAGTTTCCTAACATTATATGTTAACAAAGATCATCTTTGATCATCGTACTACTACAGAAAGCTAAGATCAAAAGTAAGTAATCAATGTTGTTTCGTATGTTCTGTGCACGCGCTTGGGTCTGTGTGTATTATATATATGAAATGGCTTCGCGTTATTTTACTTCTGGTGGGATGTTGAAAGAGACAGCCTTCTTCTAGCCGGCCAGAGTCGCTAGATCGCTGAGGAAACCTTCGGGGGTTAAGATGTGAGAGGAGCCAATGATGACTTCCCAGTTCTTAGCGGCGTTTGTCACCTCGTAGGCACAACGCACTTCGGAGAAACTCATGCCGCCCACGATGAATACAATCAAGCGGGGCACATTCTTGACGGTTTGTTGCCCTTTATCCTTGTGCCAATGTCCATACCTCGCACTGAAAATAGATGTAGGATGGAATTTCTTGTCTGGTGCAAAGTTTCATAATTTTGTTACCTCGTAGGTGCGTGGTATCCGGTGGTTTGAGCCCTGCCAGCCAAATACGGGAAGTGTCTGGCGTCCAATTTATCTTCTAAGCAGTCTTCCATTATGTCCTTAATGACCGGAGTCCAGCGGGACATTTGGTAGGTCTGCTCAGTTATCCTCTCCTTTCTCGGCACGGAGTACGGTTTTTTTCTAGTTCCTCCCTGCAAACATTCAACAATAATAGGTCAATTATAAAATTCCATCAATTAGAGACTAGCCTACACTATTTTTTTCTTCCTAAGTAAGAATGCACTCATAAATAGAAATATACCGTATTTTTCAGACGATAACTAGACCATATATACTTTTATAACACAACCCAATTTTATGACAAGTTTTAGAAAAACGTTATAAAAATCAAGTAATTTGTACCAATAAATGATATATTTCAATTATATAAAGTGTTACATAACTAAGAAAGAAGAAATGTTTTTCGCTTAAAATCTCTTTTAGTGTGATTTATTTTTGTATGTATTTAGTTCCTCACGTTTCAAACAGTCCTGAATATTGTATTACTTACACTATGTGAAGTGTTGCTGTATATGTAAATCTGATTTTTATGACTATAAATATAAGATATAAATAAATAGTAGAACAATTGTGCGTATTTATATTGTCCATTGTGTTACGTAATACAAAAGACGGAAGGAAAACTCCCGTAAAGTGATTGTTAAATTCACATTAATTACACTTTTGTTAAAAATGTACACAAATCCAAATTTTTATGATTTTTCATATCATAAAAGAGAATTAACTGCACTGATATATAAATAATTCATAGGCATATAAATTTAAAGAAAAATCATCTTAATTTAATTTGATCATGTTCAAATATGCAAAATGACATATTTGACTTTGTAAAATTCCTTACATAATACAAAATTAGTTGTTTACTGGTATGTAGTGGGAATGCGATATACCGCAAATTATATAACCTGGTAAGTTCTCTATGGCTCTTGATTACCGAACAGCAATCAACATTATCATTAACGTCATTGACGGAGCCTTAGAGGATAGGAGATTCTTGCTGGGTCGCATTCCAAGGACTCGCACAATTTGCAAAAAATAAACAGATGTCTACTGTGCGTGCTTGATAATAAAGCAGAACATCCTATTCAAATTTTATAAAAATATAAGATAAAATCAATGGATATATTTTTAAACACAAGGTTAAACCTATTAAATTGTTCTCCATGATTCAAGTAGTTCTGATGCACAAAAACAAGATATATAATGTAATCTTGATTATATATTATTTTAAAAGTATCCCCCGATTTACAATGTAAATCAAAATTGTAACTTTTTGAATGTAAAACTGTGTAAATCGAAACGTATGCAAAAATTGCATAAGTTAAAACGTTTAAAGAAAGTACCGTGTAAAACGAGTGATTTGTGTAATGAGAGTAGTTTCTCTTTAAGAATAATTAAGTTATTAAATTAACTGTAGTTTACAAAGACAAAAAGGACTTACATCAGTGACAACGTTGACTCCCAAATATTTGAGATTGGCGATGGTCTGTTTATCCTTGATTTGGGCATGGGTGGCCAACTTGGAAAGATTTTCATCGGTAATACCATTCTTCGTCATCGCGTACAAAGCAATGATGCGCATCTTATCGTAATCATTGGTAATCTTAGGATCCAGCAAAATCGGGACTATATTTCTCATGTGATCCTTAATCTTCTCCCCTTCAGCATCCGTCCCCATAGCCAAATCCTGCTCGACCTTGCACAGCTTATCCACATATCCCTGATAAGCTTTCATGCAATCCTCCGCAAGGTGCAAATGCGTAGCATACTTCGACAGCTCCTTCTGATACTGCGGCATCTTCTTAATCATTACAGACAGATCTTTCATCGATTGTTTATCTCCAGAAGTCATGCGCTTCGAATCCGTGAACGATTTCATCTTCTTCGTCACATTCTGCGAAACCACGGCGATATGCTGATGCCGCATCTCCACCCACAACTCATCATTCTCATCAAGCAAAACTTCCTTGATGCAACTTTGCTGTGCTTCGTATCTAATCGAAAATAATTATTTAATAATTTTGTTTAATTTAATACTATCGTATAATTACTTGTAAACGTCGTTCTCTATTGGCAGCAAGTCGTAAGCCATAGCCTGGAATGTGAGCTCATGGAGCAAAGGTGAGACGCAATCGAAACCTCTGTCCATGATGAGTAGTTGGGAACGAGCCTTTTCTGGACCCTCGCCCATTGTGGGTTCATCCGCTTTATAAGCGTCCAATTTCTGTTGGATTAACTGCGCCAATTCTACATTGTGTTCCCAATCACTAAACAAATTAATACTTGGTTATATTAATACAAAAAAAGAGGTTTTCTACATTACCTTCGAAAACGCACGGAGGGATATTCTCCAAGTGTAGCGCATAAAGTAGCAATCTGTTCAGCCATTCTTTCCATATTGGCATTTCTCAGATCAGCAAATGATGGAGCGTAACTGCATTGAAACGTATCCGGCGAATCCAAAGAGAATACCTAGAAAGAAACAAAAGCACCAACTTGAAACATGATAACTTATAATTTTAAAAAATTATAGTAACATGCATTTATGTACACACATCACCTGTGCTTGGCTCAGAAAGAGTATGTGACTCAAGTTGAATGTGACTTAAGTTGAGTGTAGCAAAGCTTTTTGAAAGGTATTTGATTGTGAACGATTAAACTACACCAGTTTATGGTAGAAGGTACTATAATTGTTTTTATTAAAGCTTGGATGCTGTGTAGGTATGAGTGTACCAAACCTGTGATTCGTAGGGCAAGAAGGCGATATTGATCTCCTTAAGCGTCTTAATTTTTCTTGCGGCGCCCGACTTGCACAGCTCATTGAAGAGCTCCTCAGGACAGACTGGCAGGAACAGAGAAAACAATTTACTAAATCCACAACCAATTGAAATCAGTTCAAGGAAATAAAAATCGAAGTAAAAGAAAAGAAAAAAAGAGAACACACACACACGAACACCACGACGGATCGGGATATAAAAGTAATAAAATTAGTTGAAAGCTATGTACACTTTAGGTATTAATAAAAGCGCGATTTCAAACAGAGAGAAAAAAATGATACAAGTATTATTATTATTATTATTATTAAAGATGTTCGCTCAAATTTACCTGCTGTTCAAATGGCACAAAAGCCAAGTTAATCTCTTTGAGGGTTTTTATGAATTTGGCCATCCCTTTTTGCCTACAAATCTCTTTAAACAAATGGTCTGGACATGCTGAACGCGAAAAAGAAAAAACAAACAAAAATAATAAAAACGTAAAATAAAGAAAAATAATAAATGATATTGGTATTATAAATAAAGGTAATTTACCTTCTGTGAAGAATACATGAGCAGCTTTATACATGGGTCTTGGACTCTCAAAGTCATTCATCAGTGAATGCACTGACTTCTCTGAAGGAGTTATTAAGTAGACTCCCTCCATTGTGTTCAAGGGTTCCCTCTTTTTATTAATATCTTCAACCACTGAAAATCAAATCATTCCAATAAATTTTGTGTTTATAAGTAAGATATCAATAATTACAGGTAATGCCTTCAGCTGAAATGTCATGCATCTTGCAACATGCTGAAACCATCCTCATGGCCAGTTGATCAACCACCAAAACCCTCCACTCAACATGACCTGCAGCTGCTGCAGCAGGTCCATTCTTCTTTGATCCTTTATGTTTGATCACTTCATTCATAATCTCTGAAAAAATAGCATATATAAAAATATTGTAATAAATAATTTTTTTGCTATAATGCGAAATAAAGTGCATGTCATTGATACAGTTTTGAAGGGGTAGCGAATATTTGGGGTAGGCCTAGGAGCCAATATTGACATTCCGTAGTCATGCGCTTTACCAAACTCGGTCAAATGTGGGACGAAATAATCAATAATTTGCGTGAATAGCAATTATCTCATTTTTATTCAATTGCAATTCATTATTAAACGAGATGACAAATCTTCAAAACGCAATTACAAACAATTACTTCATACATGAGCAATGAAAATAACATTGAAAAGTTAAATTGATTTTGAACGATTCTGGATGGCAACTTTACGTTAATACAACTTAATAGATATTAGTTAAGGTGGAATGAGACTTACTTAGTCCAACTTGATTCTTTAGAGCCATTTTTGCCGCAGTTTATTTCCAAAATCCCAGGGAAATCAGAAAATAGGCGGAGGTTGACACCAACAATCAAACCGACCAACACTGTTTGACAGTTCTCTTCTTGGATGAATCAGAGGTACCAGTGCTGCCACTACTTGGAGCTGGGAATTCCCAGTATTTGAATTTGACAGATTGTAAAACTTAATGAAGAAATTATATAACTTTTGAATTATTTATATATTTTTAATGGTCGCCTGTATCACGAAAATCTGATACGAAAGGTCGTTGGTTCAATTCCGAAAAACCAACAAAAATTTTCAGTGGCTGTTAAACCCGAAAGGGCCGGAGAGATTTATATATATATATATGTTTCTAATAGGAAATATTTATTTAATTATAAAATACAAACGTTTTGAGTAATAATTATTAGAATTTTATATAAATCATTCATTAAACTAATACAATTTTTAATAAATTATTACGATTATAATAATTATGTAACAAATATGATAGATTTCAAAACTTAAGAAAGAACTTTTGAATCGATTCGATCGTCGGTCGTCGGCGGTGACAGACGTGTTAGTCTT